TTCAGAATTGATTTCACCTCAATGTAAAGAAAGCAAAAATCCTCACCACTGGAGCAATAAATAACATCATGATAAATGAAGAAAAGATTGAAGTTGTCAAAGACTTCAATTTCTTTTTCCCAGATCAACCATCATCACTCATGGAGCAGTCAAGAAATCAAATGACATCTTGCATTAGGCAAATATGGTGTATAAAACCTCTTTAAAGTGTTCAAGAGCAAACATGTCAGTCAGTTTGAGGACTAAGGTGTGTCTGACTCAAGCCAGGGTATTTTCAATAACCTCATATACATGTGAAACGTGGGCAGCGAATAAAGAAGGCTATAGAAGAATTGATGCATCTGAGTTATGGTGTTGGAGGAGAATATTAAAAGTACAGTGACCCACCAAAGGCACAAACAAATCTTGTGTTGGAAGAAGCATAGCCCGAATGCTCCTTAGAAGCCAGGATGGCCAGACTTCATCTCCTATACTTCGGACACAACGTCAGGAGAGACCAGTCCCTGGAGAAGGACATCATGCTTGGTAAAGTGGAGGGTCAGCAAAAACACGATGTCTCCCAAGAAGATGGACTGGCGTGGTGGCAGCAGGAATGGGTTCAAACGTAACAGTTGTGAGGAGGGCACAGGACCAGGCAGTGTTTCGTTTTGTTGTGTGTGCAGAAGGTTGCTATGAATCAGTAGTGACTTGACGGCACCTAACAACAACAACAACAACGTGAGTTGGAACCAACTCTACAGCACTTAACAACAACAAGAAAAGCAGAATAATTTGGCACCTAGAGTCTGAAAGGTATGCGCATGTTTCTCTAAAGATGTGCAAGTATCAGCCAAAAAACTTACTATATGTCAATAATTTGGCATAACAGAATTGGGCAATACATTTAAAAAGTATGTTAAACATCTTCCCTTTTCTCCATTTATCATGATGTTGCTTCTCAGTCCAGTTGTGTTGTCTGCATATTAAAGGTTTTTAATGCCTCGTCCTCCAATCCCAGTGGCACCTTCTTCACTTAGCCGCGCTCTCAGATGATTTGATCACTTTATAATTGAGTATGCTGAAAGGATACTATCCTGATGTGAAGGCAGCCAGTGTCCCCTTGGTCTGTTCATACCGCTGCCTCTTGGTCTGTGTGCAGCTTCCGCATGGGCACAATGAGCTCGACTCCGTGACACCCAATAGCAACACAACATAAAAAGCTAAACGATGCTTTCATTGTTGAATTTTTAATAGTAAGCCTTGGCTCCTCACCAGATGGAATACACAGAAATCAAATTGACTACATCTGTAGAAAGAGACAGTGGAAAATCTTCATATTATCATCCAAAACAAGGCCAGGGGCAGACTGCTGACCAGACCATCAATTGCTCATATACAAGGTCAAGCTGAAGCTGAAGAAAAAGTTAAAAAGTCCATGAGAGCCAAAATATGACCTTGAACATATTTCATTTGAATTTAGAGATCATCTCAAGAACAGATTTGATACATTGAGACACTAAAGGTTGAAGACCAGAAGAGTTGTGGGATGACATCAAGAACATCAGACAGGAAGAAAGCAAAAGGTCATTGAGAAGACAAGAGAGAAGGAAAGACTAAATGGATGTCAGAAGAGACTCTGAAACTTGCTTTCCAGCGTAGAGATGCTAAAGCAAACGGAAGAAATGAGGAGGTACAAAAGCTGAACAGAAAATTTCAAAGGGCAGCTCAAGAAGACAAAGTCAAATATTATAACAAAATGTGCAAAGACCTGGAGTCAAAAACCAAAAGTGAAGAACACACTCAGCATTTCTCAAGCTGGGGAACTGAAGAAAAAATTCAAACCTCGACTTGCCATATTGAAGGATTCTCTGGGCAAATTATTGAATGATGCAGAAAGCATCTAGAAAAGATGGAAGGAATACAGAGTCATTGTACCAAAAGGAAATGGTTAATGTTCAACCGTTTCAAGAGGTAGCATATGATCAAGAACCAGTGATACTGAAGGAGGAAGTCCAAGGTGCATTGAAGGAATTAGCAAAGAACAGGGCATGAGGAATTGATGGAATAAAAATTGAAATCTTTCAAGAAAGTGAGGTGGCACTGGAGGCACTCACTCACCTATGCCAAGAAATTTGGAAGACAACTATCTGGCCAACTGACTAGAAGAGATCCATATTTGTACCCATTCCAAAGAGAGGTGACCCAACTGAATGCGGAAATAATCGGACAATATCACTGATATACCATGTCAATAAAGTTTTACTAAAGGTAATACAGAAATGGTTGTAACCATACATTGACAGAGAACTTCCAGAGGTTCAAGCTGGATTCAGAAGAGGAACAAGGGATATCATTGCTGACATCAGATGGATCTTGGCTGAAAGCAGAGAATACCAGAAAGAAAAGATGTTTACCTGTGCTTTATTGACTATGCCAAGGCTTTCGATTGTGTGGATCATGACAAGCTATGGACAACATTGCGAAGTATGAGTATTCTGGAACACTTAATTGTACTCATGAGGAGCCTGTACATGGACTAAGAGGCAGTTGTTGGAACAGAACATGGGAACAATGGATGGTTTAAAATTAGGAAAAGTGTACATCAGGGTTGCAGTCTTTCACCATACTTATGCAATGTGAATGCTGAAAAAATAAACCCCAAAACTGGATTATATGAAGAAGAATGTGGCATCAGGATTGGAGGAAGACTCATTAACAACCTATGCTATGCAAATGATGAAACCTTGCTTGCTGAAAGCCAAGAGGACTTAAAACACTTATTGATGAATTTCCAAGACCACAGCTTTCAGTATATGTTGTACTTCAATGTAAAGAAAACAAAAATCTTCACTACTGGACCAATATGTAACACTCATATAAATGGAGAAAAGATTGAAGTTGCCAATGACTTCATTTTGCTTGGCTCAACCATCAACACTCATGGAAGCAGCAGTCAAGAAATCAAATGACGTATTGCATTGGGCAAATCTGCTGCACAAGACCTCTTTAAAGTGTTGAAGAGCAAAGATGTCAGTTTGAGGACTAAGGTATGCCTGATGCAAACTGTGTTTTTTGTTTGTGTGTGTGTTTAAGTTTTTATTGTGAATTGAGTGATAATTTACATGGGGGAACATCAATTTGTTTCATTGTAATGATTACAATCCCCGGCATGCTTCATCATTCAACAGTATTTGCTTCTATTCTCTGTGGGTTGTTTTTTTGGGGGATGTGCACCAAACCACTCAGGAATACAGGAATATACAGTCATTCAAACAGCCAAAGGGCACACCCTGCAGATATCTTATCAGTCCCTGGAGAAGGACATCATGCTGGTTAAGTGGCAGGTCAGTGGAAAAGAGGAAAACTCCCTCCCCCAATTTGAGGGCCTGACACAGTGGCAGCAGCAGTGTGCCCAAGCTTAATTATGAGGCTGGTGCAGGGCCAAGCAGTGTTTTATTGTTTTGTTAAAGACTCTTTTCGTGGACTCATTAGGGTTTCATAAGGTCATGTGATCTGCACATAGTGTTATTTTAACTTCTTCCTTTCCCATCTAAACTGCCCGGGCTAGAACCTCCGATTCATGTTGAGTAGAAGTGCTAAGAGTGGACATCCTTTTCTTGTTTCTGATCTTAGGGGGAAAGTCTTCAGTCTTTTTACCGTGAAGTATGTTAACTGTGGGTTTTAGTAGAAGTCCTTTATCAAGTTAAAGAAATCCCCTTCTAGTCCTAGTTTATGGAGCGGTTTTATCAGGGGGTATTGAGTTTGGTCAAATTCTTTCTCTGTGTGTATTACAATGATCATGTGGTTTTTGGTCTTTTATCTCTTGATACAGTGTTTCCATTCATTGATTTTTGATGGTAAGTCAGCTGAGGTACAGACCACTTGGTTGAGGCGTTTAATTCTTTTCATCTCTTCCTAGATTTGGTTTGCTAGTGTGCTGAGGATTTTTATGTGTGTTTATATTCAGAAAATATAACCGTCTATAGTTGTTGTTTTTTCTTGTGATGTTTTTATTAATTTCGTTTCAAGATAATCCTGACCTCATAGAATGGAGTGGAAAGTATCCTCTCTCCTTCCATGTTTTTAAAAGAGTTTTTGAAGTATTGACATTAATTCTTCTTTATTGATAGAATTCATTAGTGACACCATTTTGACCAGGGCATTTTTGTGTGTGAATGTGAGAAATCGTTAAATGATTACTTCAGTCTTATTATTGCTCCAGGTCTATTGTGATTTTCTATTTCTTCTTGAGCCCATTTCAGTAGGTTGAGTTTTTCTAGGGATTTGTTCATTTCATCTGAGTTATCTAATTGGCTATCTAATTAGCTTATGTCATTCCGTATAATCCCTTTTATTTCTATAAAGTTGGTAGTAAGAGCTCTCTGGCATTCCTGATTTTAAGAAATTGTTGTCTTCTCTCATTTTCTCTTGGTAAATTGACCGAATGTTTTATCAATTTTCCTGATCTTTTCAAAGAACCAGGTTTGGGTACTGTTCCATTGTCTTTGTTATTTTCTAGTCTTCATTTTATTAATCCCACTCGAATCCTACCCTCCTGCTGCTTGCTTTGGATTTAGTTTGCTCTTCTTTTCCCAGTGACTGATAGTGGAAGATCAGGCTATTGGTTAGAAATCTTTCTTCTTTTGTATCGGTGTTTCCAGGTATACAGTTTAACAAACACTGCTTTTCTGGCCCCCCAGAAGTTTTAAGTATGCCATATCTGTATTTTCACTAATTTCCCTCATGATCTCTTTGGCCCGCTGGCTGTTTCGTGCGTTACTTAGTTTTCTCACATGTGTGGCTTTCCCCTTCTTCCTCTGCCCTGACTCTTCTCCAGCCTTGCTCTTCACCCTGGACTCTCCTCTCCAGTTCTGTGGTAGGCAGAAGTCCTCCAATGCCGTGTGACTGGGTTTGTAAAAGGAGAGGGGGTAGATGGTTGCTATCTTTTGAGGCTACGTCTGCATGAATTTCAAGAGAGGCTGATGTGAGTTGCTGACCCGTGCCTGTGTTTGATGCCTCAGAAGTCACCTTTGTCCTGGTGTCGAAGGTGAGCGGGCAGGCGGAAGTGGACGATGTCCTCGCAGCTGTCCGGCCCACCACGCGCCTCGTGACCATCATGCTGGCCAACAACGAGACTGGAGTTATCATGGTGAATCGACTTAACTTTCCTTCTTCTCTTAAGAAAGTCTAGTGGGAAGGAAAGGAGCTTAGACTCTGCTAAGACCGAATGTTTCCTGACTTGGGCAGCTGCTTTTTCTCCGTTTGTCGATTCTGTAGCTTTTTCTTGCCTAGTTCCTTAACTATGCCTTCTTTCCTTCAGTCCTCACCAAACCCAAGGCATATACTCACCTGTTCATCTTCCCTGCTGCAGCGTGTCCCTGAAATCAGCCAGCGCATCAAAGCCCTGAACTTGAGGCGGGTGACCTCGGGCCTGCCCCGCATCCTAGTGCACACAGATGCCGCACAGGTGCTGGGGAAGAGGCATGTGGACGTGGAGGACCTGGGAGTGGACTTCCTTACCATCGTGGGACACAAGGTAGCATCTGAGGGGGTAGCATCTTGGGACACAAGGCAGCATCCCTCCTGGCTGGGAAGACCCCTGCCTCGCTTAAGCTCTCTGTGAAGCAGAGCCCCACCACCTTCATTGCTCACATGGCCCTCCATTAACCTAGGTGCCTCCCAAGCTAGTGAGTGCCATGGTGGGGGCCAGTGGGAATCCACCCACCCATGTGGGGCAAGGCTGGGGTGGGGAGGCAAAACTTCAGCAGGGCATTGAGACCAAGGTAAGAATATAGGGCAAGTGGGGTCCACGTGGGAATGGGGAAACAGTGTTCTCTGAGACCCTGCCCCTCACACCCAGACCTCCCCCACCAAGGACAAAAGGTGTGGGGGTCACAAAGAGTTGCTTCTTAACCTTGACTTAAATGTGTGTCCGGGATGACTTTAGGCTCAGAAACTCTGACCTTCAGGGTGGAGCTGGGAGTAAAGTGGTTAGAAATGAAGAATTCACGAAGCTTTTTGAAAGAGCTCTGGTGATAGAGTGCGTTAAGCATTGGGCTACTAACGGAAAGCTCAGAGTTTCAAATCCACCAGCCGCTCCATGGCACAAAGCCAGTCCGCTTCTGTAAAGCATTGTTGTTGTTGTTGTTGTTACGTGCCATCGAGTCGATGGGACTCAGCAATCCTGTATAGGGTTTCCAAGGAGCAGCTGGTGGGTTTGAACTGCTGACCTCATGGTTCACAGTCCAGTGCTGATCCTACAGCGCCACCCCAGGAGTCCCTCAGAAATCTTACAGAGCAGTTGTGTCCTATAGGATCTCTGAGTCAGAGTGGGCTCCACCCAGTGGGGTGGGATGAAGCTTTTGTGTACCTTTCTGGTGGCTGACTAGAAGCTGGGATGCTTTCAGTCTTCTGTTTTGAAGCACGCTCCCCAGCCAGTTTCCAAAGGAATGTCTAGCTTGGCCTGGCGCTGTAGCGCTGATTTTTTTCAATATCCTATCTCTGTGAAAACACAGAATCATGGGCAAGAAAAGCCCTTGGTGCCTCCAGTCCCAACCCTCTCCTGTTACAAGCTCTGTCCCGTGGTTTCTGGACGAGCTCGGCCTGCTACAGAGCAGGGAAAGGGCAGCTGGCAGCTGAGGTGTGATGGACGGCAGCGTCCAGGGCCTGCCCATCACAGAGTGTGTCTTCGGCATGTCCCAAGCACTTCGCACATACGTAGAGCAGGGCCTCAGAGAGTTCTTGCTGAATAAATGACTGACTTCTCATTCCAGTTCTATGGCCCCAGGATTGGAGCCCTTTATGTACGAGGCCTGGCTAAGCAGACCCCGCTGCACCCCATGCTGTTTGGAGGTGGGCAAGAGCAGAACTTCAGACCAGGGTAAGGTGGGACGCCGACCAGGTCTCTGAGCTGTCTGTCGTGGGGGTGTGTTTCCCAGCACGTTCCGCACTGTTCCTCGTCAGAACCAGGGCTTACTGGATCCGCAGGCTCTGGCGCTGATTTGAAGCAGGTGAAGGATACCTCTTTCTTTTCATTACTTTCCCCCAGTAGCAGGTGTGGTAAGCATCTGAACATGGTGGTCAGACTCAGCTGGCCAGGTCAGACCTGGTGCTACCACAGACCAGCTGCACGAGCTGGACGCATCACTCCCCCTCGTCGGCCTCAGTTTGCTCCTCAGTTTAAATGGAGCTGAGGGTACCACAGGTCTCACTGCTGTCTTGTGTCACGGTGCTGCTCCAAGGAGCCATCAGCAGGCTTTAGGTACCAGTGTCGGTCTTGTTGCTGGAACCTTGGAGGGTGAGATGTGCCTCTCTCTTAACACTGGGGGCAGAAGGGGTAGATGGAAGCACCACGTTTTCTCTTCCAGGAGCTCCTGGCAGCAGTGTGACAGCACACGCCCTCCCTATGCCAGAGTGGTGTCAAGAAAAAGATAACTACAGTCAGTGTCTCAAAACAGTCCATGACACTGTCTAGGTTTCCATCACAAATCACTCCTCAAACTGAGAACCAGAAAGATCTCAGACCGAATGCAAACAGGCAATCAGGAGTCACCATCACTGAGGTCACAGTGAGGTTAGAAAGAGCTGACGACGGTCTTAAAGCTGACTCAATAAACACGCTGCAGGGAGCAACTGCAGACACCTGCGGGACAAGAAAGAGAACACATCTCAGCCAAGAAAGCGACGTCAAGAAAGCTCAATGGATGGGTTCAACGGCCGAGTAGAGGGGGCCTCCGCGCAGGACAGACTCAGGGAGCCGGAGGAACAGTAGAAATTACCCAATCCGAACAACAGAGAGTAAACAAACTGTGTGCCGTGGAGTCGGTTCCGACCCATAGCGACCCTGTACAGGGTTTCCGAGGCTGTAAATCTTTACGGGAGCAGAAAGCCTCGTCTTTCTCCTGCGGAACAGCTGATAGTTTCGAACTGCTGACCTTGAGGTTCACAGCCCAATTTGTAACCACTACACTACCAGAGTTCCTTAAACAAGCAGGGACAACAGTAAACAGAGCCTCAAAAACAGGACTGTAAGTCACAGTAAAAGCGCTCCTTCTGAACTCCCAGCAGGAGAGGAGAGAGGGCACTGCTGAAAATAGAACATATCCTCCCAAATTTGGCACAAAACATCCAGTTACAGATTGAAGAAGTTTACAAACCCCGAGCAAGAGAAACCCAAAGAAATGCATGACGAGAATGATCCTAATTAAGCTTCTGAAGATAAAAGACAAATCAAAAAACACAAAAAAAAGCTTGAGGCAGTCAGAGACAAATGTCACATTCCCAAAAGGAGCAACACTCAGAAACCATGGGAACCAGAACAAAGTGGGACAATGCTTCTCAAGTGCTGAAAGAAAAGCAGCAGTAACCAAGAAGCCTCTACACGATGAAAATGTCCTTTCGGAATGAAGAGATATGAAGATATTCTCAGAGGAAGGTAAACAAAGAAGCTGTAGCTCACAGACCTAGCCTAAAAGAATAAGAAGGTAAGTTTTCTAAACAGAAAAGAAGGAACATAGTAAAGAAAAATACAGGTAAATACAATAGACTCTCCTTTGCTTTAGTTTTCTAAAATATATTTGATGGTTTAAGCAAACATTATTATCAAGTATGTGTCTACAGAAGTTACACAAACATTATGTAATACCTACAATAACCACTAAACAGAAAACTATACAAAAGGATACACTCAAAATCAATTTATATAAATCAAAATCTACTTCTAAAATATATTCCAGTAACCCACAGCTCTGCAGGAAAAAGAAAATCCAGAAGCGAAAAATAAAACAAGCAGAAAAAATCTAAGAAGAAAAAGTCTCAACATACCAGGTCTTCACAAGTCACCCTCTTTGTCAGAGGTCTGTGGGATCTCTCTGTATCATTTCCACAAGCAGCGATACAGAGAAGACTTTATAATGCGAATGCTCCCAGTATACCAATTAAAAAGCAGAGCTCGGCAGAGTGGATTTAAAAATAAAACGCTGTGATTCAGCTGTATGCTGATTTCAAATGCAGGGATGCTGGCCCTGGAAGTAAGAGGCGGGAGAAAGACGTAGGCTGCACCCTTCAGTGAAGTAAAGTTAAAGTAGCTGTGTTCATCCAGATAATGTCGACTCCAGAGCAAATAGAATTGCAGAAGTGTTATCCAACTGAGATCAAGGAGGTTGTCCGCTGAGAAGGTGTGATGACCCTAAAAGTGTGTGCACTCAACAGTAGAGCTGAAATGTGTACAAATGCTCCGAAAACAGGATGTGAAGGAACTTTCCTCAACCTAGAGTGTGTCCATGGAAAATCGTACAGCTCACATTATACTTAATGGTGAAAACTGGATGTGTTACCCCTTTGGTCTGGAACAAGGCTTGGATGTCTGCTTTCGTCGCTCCTGTTCAGAGTGCTGAAGGGTCTGTTCCATGCATAAGGCAAGAAAAGGAAATGCAATGTATCCAGACCACCAAGGAAGAGTTAAAACAATCTTTGTGTGCAGACCAGGATTTCCTACATAGGAAATTCCAAGGAATATACATGAAACCCCCCTAGAACTAGTAATTTCACAAGGTTGCAGTGAACAAGCTAAACTTACAGAAATCATTTGTACAAGGGGAAAATCCTGTTCTTGTAATTCCATTTTTTCTGTGAATTTCTTGAAGCTAGTATATTTTTATATGTTAGCATTGAACCTGTGGACAATGAAAATTAAGCTGTAGTGCCATTTAATAACTGCTCAGAAATATCCAGGTGTAAATCTACCCAAACTAGTGCAGGATTTGTATGCTGAAAACTACAGACTGCTGATGAGAGAAATCAAAGATCTGAATAAACAGAGAGACATACCATGTTCATGGCTTAGAAAGCTCAACATAGTAAAGATTTTGATTCTTCCAAAACTGATATAAGGATTTAATGTGATTCCTACCAAAACCACAGCATGGTGTTGTTTGGGGGGAGTTTTTTGTTGTTGGTGGTGGTTTTTGGTTTTTTGTTTTTCAGAAATAGAGAAGGTTATTCTAAATATATCTGGAAATGCAAAGAAACGAGAATAGCATAAACCATTTTTTGAAAGAAGGAACGATGGGGAGTAATTACTGTACCTAGTTTCAAGACTGTGGTTTGGTGCAGGGATAGGATATTTTATACATAATAGGTCAGTGCAACAGAATAAAGAATCCAGAAATGACCACACACGTAGGCCCAACTGATTTGTCAGAAAAACACAAAAAAAGCAGTCCAGTGGAAGAATGATAGCATTTTCCTGAAATCATGCTGGAGCATTCGGGCATCCATAGGCTGAAACTGAGCTTCAGTTCACAGCAGAGTCCACGGCGGTGGGCCGTGGGAGATAAATGAGTATGTGGGATCGTCCTGTCATTTCTTACGATTGCATGTGAATCGATAGTTATCTCAAACTTTAAATATTTGATTAAAAGAAGATCTGATGTTCCAGAAGCCCTAAGATGTCTCTGCAGAATGCAAGTTCTGAGACAGGTGGGGAGAGCAGGCTCGAACTGACTCTTTCGAGTGTCTTCAAGTCGGTTCTGACTCAGTGATCCTGAACAGCAGTTCCAAACATCGGCTGTTGTGTTTGAACTGCTGACCTTGCAGCTAGCAGTCCAGTGCTTACCCTATACCAGGACTCAGAACTGACTGTAGGGGCAGGTGGAGGAAGGCAGGCTGCTAGGAGGGTGGGTGATTGGACAGGGCTGGGTGCACGATTGGCCCTGCGCTCAGGGGTTCTTCCAGGTCCTTGCAGGTCACAAGCCTTCAGCGATGCTTCAAAGTCCTTGACCACACTGTCCCGGGAGGGGGTGTGACTAGGCTGAAAGCCCACCACAAAACCCAGGCCTCCCTGCCCCCAGCCCAGCACCCACCCAGCACTGAGCACCTGTCCCCAGGGAACAGGGTTGGCTGGTCAAACCGTTGTCGCTGTCACCGTCTGCACATCCATTTATCTTGTTATCTGCTGCTCGACAAGCAAGATCCGGTTCCAACCAACGCATGTTGTTAGGAGCCTGCGGGCAGCTTCCGACTCATAGTGCGCCATGTAACACTGAAGGAGACACTGCCCGGTCCTGCGCCCACCTCACGAGTGCTGCTTTACAAAGGTTTACGAAGGCCTTCTTCACCTAAAGCTTAACAGTAAGAAAATTCTGATTCAGTTAATGTTTTATTCTCTTGGAAGTGCAGCAAAGAGTGTGGATTTTACTTTGCTGGACCTAAGTGAGAGAGTCACTGGGTATCAGCGGTTCTCGTGACTCTCTCCTGCACACACGTCCCACACAGACATACATATGCACACACCCACATACACACACCACACACAGACATACATGTGCACACACCACACAGAGACATGTGTGTGCACACACCCTACATGCACATACCCCACACTGACATATATGTGCACACACCCTACATACACATACCCCACACAGACATACGTGTGCACACCCCCCGCATACACACACCTCCACACACACCACACAGACATACTCACCACCACACACATACATACATGTGCACACACCCACATGCATACATGTGCACCCATACACACCACCACAAACGCCCCCCACAGATATACACACAACACACCACAAATACATACACAAGCACACACCCCACATACATACATACATACACACACATACACACCATCACACACCCCACACAGAATACACTACTACACACCCCACATACTTACACACACACACATACATACATACATACATACACATGCACACATATACACCCCCACACCCCCATATACTTATAAACACATATGTACACATACACACTGCCACACACCCCACACAGACATACACACCCACCACTATGCAGACATACACACCACATACCCCACAGACATGTACACCACACACACATACATACATTCGCACACACCTGACAGACATACACACGCACACACCCTGCCTACACACACACACACACACACACACACACCTCTTCTTTGCTGAGGCCAGAAATCCCCATAGCAAAGGGTTCCTTCTGTATTACCACGGAGCTCCTTCCATAGGTCGTGAACGCGTTCCTCAAAGGCAGGCAGTCTCTAATTGCCGATGGATAATTTCAGGCATTGGACTGAGTGGACCCTAACAGTTGATGGATACCATTCAAAGAATAGGAATTCCAGACACTTCATGTGCTCAGACAGAACCTGCACACAGAACACGAGGATGCTGCATGGTTTAAACCCAGGAAGGTGTGCACTGGGGTTGTACCCTTTGACCACATTTATTTAATCTGTCTGCTGAGCAAATAATCCGAGAGGCTGGACTATATGAAGAACGGCATCAGGATTGGAGGAAGACTCATTAACAACCTGAAATATGAAGATGACACACTGAGGGAGATCAAAGACTACAGCCTTCGTTACGGATTACACTTCAACATAAAAATCCTCACAACTGCACTCATGACCAATATCATGAAAAAAGGAGAAAAGATCGAAGTTGTAAAGGATTTCATTTTACTTGGATCTACAGTCAACACCCGTGGAATTTGGTAAATCTGCAGCTAAAGACCTCTTGGATGTGTTCAAGAACAAAGGTATCACTTTGAGGACTGAGGGATGGTGTTGTCAGCAGCTTCCTATGCACGTCACAGTTGGACAATAAGTAAGGAGGAGTGAAGAAGGGTTGATGCTAATGGAGACGACTGAAGGTGCCATGGACTGACTTGGAGGAAGTACAACCAGAGTGCTCCTTAGAAGTCAGGATGCGGAGACTTGGAACGTGGTATCAGGAGGGACCCGTCGCTGGAGAAGGACATCATTCTTGGTAAAGTGGAGGGTTGGTAAAGAAGAGCAAGACCCTCAGGGACATGGACTGACACAGTGGGTCCAACAGACTCAAACCTAGCAATGACAGTGACAATGTCGCGGGACCGTGGAGTGTTGGGTTCTGTTGTAGATGGTGTTCCTGTGAGTCACTCAGTTACACCTAACAACAGCCAGGCTTGCCAGTGAGGACCAAAGGCAGGAGCATTCTGGGGCTCCCAGGACCGGGAGGTGTCCCCCCAAGGCTGGAAAAGGGCCCACCCAGAACAGCAAACTTTGGACACCCCACACATTTTGTCCACGTGTGGCCCTTTGATCAGGGCCAGAGCTGTGACGACATTGCATGGAGGTCGTTGGGGCCTTCAGCTGCCGTTCCAGCCTCCACGTGACATGTGTTTCGTTAAACGTCACTGTGATGGTCTTGTTTTTATAGGAATCTCCTATAAACAGGATTCCTTGTGAATTGTAAGCCCATTGCTCTGTGGATTTGCTTAGCGTTGGGATGGGACTAACTCTTGTCTCTTGTAGGACGGAGAATACGCCGATGATTGCTGGCCTCGGGAAGGTAAGTCCAGCTCTACTGTCCACTGAGGAAGTGCACAGGAGCTGGCTGGCTGTCTAGGGGAGGGGTGAGAGGTGCCGTCCACTGTTGCAGGCCCAGGAGCTGTCCTGTTCTGTGTGAGGCTGAGAGGTGCCGGCCCATCATTTTTCCAGAATAGCCTTCCCCTTAGGAAAGGTCAAAGTTCAAGCTCATCCTTTCTCTGTCTTGGCAGCCTTGTTCATCAGTCCCCAGGGCTGAAATGGGTAGCCGGGACTTTGTTGTCTGGTGTGGTCCAGTCAGTTCCAACTCATAGCGACCTACATGACAGAATAGAGTGATCCCTGAGGTCTCTCTAGGCTGGGGGTTTAACAGAACCAAAATCACGAGGTCTCTCCTTCTGCGTTGTGACTGGGTGGGATTGAACCCCTGACCTTTAGGTTAGCTGTCCAGTGCAAACCATTAGCACCATGTTAGGATCCGCGCCCGGATCGCTGGCAGTGGAGGGAAGGCAGGAAACACCGAGAATGTGCCCCCTCCCCCTCTGCCTGGAGAGCTGTGGGCAGTTTCAGCTTCGACGTGTTTCAAAGGGAAGAGCTCTTGTCCAGTGTCTCTTGTAACTTACAAACAGTGATGGACATGCTGTGCCTCACCGTCTCCAAATGTCCTCCCATGTCATCCTCACCCATCAGCTGCCCCCTGAGGGCCCACCCACCCCAGGCTTCAGCCCCATCCCCACTGTCCGAGCCTCCAGCCTTGTTCAGGCCCCCTTGGCTTCAGGACAGCCCCCAGCTCTACCGTCACCCCACATTAGGACCCCGTCTCTGCCGTACAAGAAGGCCAGCCAGGTCCCGGTTTCTGCAGCTCCCACCACTCCCTCCTGCATCTTCCTCTCCCCTGGAATATTCTGGGTGGTCTTCAGAGGGGGCCAGCTCTTAGCCATCCCCCAGAGTCCCCCTCCCCATGATGTCTCTGCCTGTCCCCATAGTTTTCAGCAGAGCTGCTCACTCCCTCACCTCACATCTGGTGCCCAAGAGTCCCACCACCATAGCTGTCACCCCGTCAGCCCTCGGGGACCGGATGCTTTCTCTCTCGCCTGCTCCCTGCCCTGTGCATGCCTCCTTTCCTGGGTGCATGCCCTGTGTCCCCCTAGTGGGCCCATCTGGCCCACAGCTGTAAGCACCTCCCAGGTTCAGGTAACAATGGGCCAGCCCCGGGGCTTCATGCTAAGCAGGGGTCTCTGTGTCCCCAGGCCGCAGAGCTGGTCAGCAAGAACTGTGCGGCTTACGAGGCCCACATGAGGGAGGTCAGAGACTACCTGGAGGAGAGGCTGCAGGTAAGCAGGGCTCCCAGCCCACGGGGAGCAGGGCAGGGGTGCCCGGGAGCAGCCACATGACAGGTGGGGAGGGGTTGCACTGAGCAATCATGGGAGCTGTGTGTCTAAAACTCAGTCGGGGAGTCATCCCAGGGAGGAGATGGGGACTCAAAATGAAGAAAAGCAAGTTGGAATCAAAAGCCCCACCCAGAAACTAAGTAAGAGTTCCTTTTTCACTGATTTGTGATAAAAATAGACCAAACCCACAGCCATAAAGTCAGTTCCGCCTCACAGCGACCCTGTCCGTATAGGGTTCTGAGACTGTAAATCCATATAGGAGCACACCGCCTCATCTTTCTCCCATGGAGCAGCTGGTGAGTTTGAACCACCGACCTTGTGGCTGACATTCTAGTGCATGTCCTACAGAGTCACCAAGGCTTCTTAGGAAGAAATCAGTCAATTTAATGATTGTATGAGTTGTTAAGTGCTGTCGAGTCGGTTCCAATTCATAGCGACCTGTATAGGGTTTCTGAGGAGCGGTAGGTGGGTTTGAACCGCCGACCTTGCAGTTCGTAGTCCAGTGCTGATCCCACAGTGCCACACCAGGACCATACAAGTACATAGAAGATTGCTTCTGCTCTGGGTAAGCTCTGCTTCTGCGACAGTCGTATGAAGTACACAGTCCCCTGAGTAGATGCTCAGCATTCAAGGGGATTCCGACTGAGCCGCCCTCTAGGACAGAAGATAACTGCTCCCTGGGGGTTCCAAGACCGTCCATCTCCACGGAAGCAAATGGCCTCATCTGTCTCCCAAAGAGCGGCTGCTGGGTTTGAACCGTTGACCTTGTGGTTAGCAGCTTAACCCACAGTACCACCAGGACTCCTTCTCAATAAGATTTTTTTCTTTTTATCTAATTTGAGGTTTTGTTTCCCAGAAAAGCTTAAAGTTCAAACAAATGGTGTGTGTGATGGGGAGTGGGGGAGGAGGAGTTTGTGAAGGATGCCAATCACCGGTCCCTGAATCGCTCGCTGGTTTGGGTTTTTGTATGTTTTTAACTTTTTCAGGCTGAATTTGGTAAGAAGAGAATCCATTTGAACAGCCAGTTTCCAGGGACGGAGCGGCTTCCGAACACCTGTAACTTTTCCATCGAGGGACCCCAGCTGCAAGGTGGCTGCCCGGTCCGCCTGTCCGCCATTGGTGTTTTGGGTGCCTTCTGGCATCTCCTAGCTCTGGCACCGCAGTGTTGTGAGGTGGCCAAGCGCTTGGCCCATCGATGAGGGTGGACGGTGCCTGGGCCTGTGGTTGTCAGCATGACTGTCCTCCCTGACTTGGCTCCTCTCCAACGCTTCGCTGAGGGTCGTTCTCAGCTCTCGACAGCTGGCAGTCCCCACAGGAAGCGGCACTTTGGACTAGCTAGTTGGTACACTTTTGTGAGCAGAGTGTAGGAACCTGGGGCAGGCTCCTTCTGCTGCCCTTCACTTTAGGGCCTCTGGCAGAGACCGTGTTTCTCACAAATGGAAGGTTTGTGGCAGCCCCACGTCCAGCGAGCTGCCGGGCGCCGTTTTCCCAAGTGTCTCCGGGTCCCCTGTGGTCATTGCCACATTCTGTCAGACCCTTCACCCTGCCTGTGCACGCTCCACAGACGGCAGTCTGGTGTGACCATCACGTATCTAGGCACTGGGAAACCAACACACTGGCAGACTCGCTTCTTTGCTGTGGTCTAGAATGGAAGCGGTGGTGTCTCCCACGCTGACCTGTGTTTTGAGTGGGGTTGGCTGCAGGCTGAGAGCAGGACGAAATGCAGATCTGTAGATCTTGCTGTGCTTGGATCTCTCCCCCTTTGGCCACAAGCAGGGAATCAGTTTCCCAAACGCAGCTGAAACCTGGTTTGCTGGAGTCCCCAGGCAGGAAGATGGGGGCACTGTTTGCATTTGGGAAGGGATAGTTGCTGTCCTGAGACATTTTATCTCCCTGGTCACATGGAGGCAAGTGGCAGGGCACTGGACCTTGAAGGAAAGGGTGGTGACCTTCCTGGGGCTGTGCCCTCAAGCGCTTGGGGGAAAGGGCATCCCCTCTGGTGGCCTCTGTCTGTCCCTTTTGTCTTCAGAGACCCATACCTGTGGGCATTCCAGTAGGACTGGCTCTCAGCCTGTCTCCTCTGAAGTCAATTTAACTCCTGTGTTTATGCAAGATGCCAGCAAGGCCTCCGAGATGAGAAAACACACACATGCCAACTTTGTATGACTGTCGGGCAGCAGGTCTCTAAGTGAGGTGCTTCAGTGCCTTCAAGACAAGTGATTGGAATGACCTTGCCATACGAAGTTGGCATGTGTCTGTAGCCCAGGTGGGGTGGCAGCATTTGTGGGGTCCTGCAGAGATTTCTCTTGTCCCCATGTGGGGCTGGCCCACAGTGCCACGGGGACCTAGAAACGCCCCCTCCACCCCGGTGCAGCATGGGCAGTGGGGGCAGAGCCCTCATCTTAGGACACCCTGTCCTCCACAGGCCGCCTGGTGCTCGCCCAATGCAGGAGGCTGCTGGCCAGTGTGGGTGCTGCGTGCCACTCGGATCTCGGGGACCAGTAAGTGAGGGGGGGAGTCACCGCGGGGTCATAGGAAGATGGGAAGTGGAGGCCTCACCTAGGAGGGAGGGGGAGGAGAGAGTGGCCTTCCTGGAGGGAGGGAAGGTGTCCTGGGGCCAGACCACACACCGCCAGCCTCAGAAGGGGTTTGGGCAGATGAGTGACCGGGTCTGATGTGGGTTCCAGGAAATTGCCTGCAATGCGTGGACGGATAGCTGTCATAGCTGCTGGGGAGCCAGTGGCCAGTCCTGGTTAGGGACCAAGGAGGAGAGGACAAGGGGTCCATGTCTGCTTGTGTGGGCTGGACACAACAGGACAGCCAGACTATCCACTCAGTGACACTTGACCTGAGAGGCCCTGTATCTTCAGGGGAGCTGCTCAGGGTGGGGGGTTGAGGGCGGGAGCCCCAGCTGTGATGGAGAAGTCAGGGAGACAGGAGAAGGGTCAGAGTGGCGGGGAGGGAGACGCCACCAAGTGATCCAGATGCTATCCTCTCGTCCAGTGGCCACCACCACCTAAGAGGTGGGGAAACGGAGGCACCGAGCTGTGAAGACAGCCCCTCCATCTCAGGGTGGGCATGTGCCCCTGGGGGAGGAAGGGGTGTGTGGCCTTGCTCACAGTCCTGAGGAGGCAGGGAGATGGGGGCAGGAAAGGGTGGGAGGAAGAGATCATGAACTGGCATTGTATCTGAGACCCTCTGGGCCCCCAAAGCAGGTCACAGCGGTTTAGGGGGAGTGGGGATGGGTGACTGGTGGGCTCCTGGGCTTCAGAGGACAGGGGGCGGGGTGTCCAGAGACCCCAATTTCCGACTCTGGAGGAAGGAATGCAAAGAACTACCCCTGCCCCTTGGGGTCAGGAAAGCGCCCTCTCTCCCCAGCCCTGGTCAGGATGGATGGGAAGTGGATAGTTAGGGTGGATGCTGTGATTGTAGACCATGAGTTGGAATGACTCAAAGGCACTTAACAAGTGCAAGGAGTCCTGGTGTGGCGCTGTAGAGTAAGCAAGCACTGCACTTCTAAACACAAGGAAAGCGGTTCAAACCCACCAGCTGCTCCTTGGAACCCCTTTACAGGGTTGCTATGAGTCAGAACTGCTCAACAGCACGTAACAACAACAAGTGTAAGCCAGAGCCCTAGTGTGGTGCTGAGGGTAAAGCACTGAACTGGCGAGCACAGGTCAACAGTTCAAACCCACCAGCCGCTCCTCAGGATAAAGGAGACGCCATCTGCTCCTGGTAGCATAGTGGTTACGAATTGGGCTGCGAACTGCAAGGTCAGCAGTTCGAAACTACCAGCTGTTGTGCAGGCTTTCTGCTCCCATAAAGATTTACAGCCTTGGAAACCCTATACAGGGTCGTTATGGGTTGGGACCAACTCCACATTACTTAACAACAACAACATCTGCTCCTGTCAGGGTTGACGGCGCCAGGAATCCGGTGGGGCAGTTCCACGCCGTCCTATAGGGTTGCTGTGAGTCAGAGCCACGCTGATGGCACTGGGTTTGGTTTTGGTTAATGTAAGCAAGGAGCCGGTGGCATGGTGGCTAAGTCTTCTCCTGCTAGTTGACGGTTGGTTTGACACCAGCTGCTCCGAGGGGGAAAGCTGTGGCAGTTGTCCTGTCCTGCGTCAGAATCGGCCTGATGCCTACTGGCTCGGGTTTGAGTGTGCAGAGAGCCCTGTGGGTACAGCCACTGAGCTCACTGTTGGAACGCAGCCAGAGCTCCATGGACAAAGGACCTGGCCATCTGCCTTGGAAACCCTCTGGGGCCGAACTCTGTCCTGTTGGGTCGGAGCATACTGCTGGGTTCCAGTCTGCCCGGGGGGCCGCAGAAGAAAAGTGACCCTCAGCTTGCCGCTGTTTGCAGGCTGAAAACTCTGTGGAGCAGGTCTCCTCTGTAACACCAGGGGTCACTGTGCTTCAGGACTGACGGGGTGCCCATGGGAGGTTGGGGTTTGGATTTAGTGTATGCAAAGCACTGAAATCCCAAACTAACACAGTGGGGGTGGGGGGTACAGGCCGGGACACGAGGGAGGGAACCCCAGATTCTGTGCTAACTTGTTTGAGTGCTAATCTCCCCCAGACCTCTGAAAGTTCTCAAGGACCAAGTCCCGCAGTCCAGAGCTTAGTGCCCGGGGCCCTGCTTCCACATGAAACAGGCCCTAGAGAACCTGGAATCAGTGGTGAAATCGGGTTGGAGCTGTGCTTGTTTGGGAGCCCTCCAGGGGAGGGCCCAGGGTGGGAGATGAGTGCTGTAACCCGCAGGTGGGACTTGACCTCGGGCAGGATAGAAGGGTCAGCTTCCTGACCCCTGATGGACCGTCTGCCTTCCAGGCCCTCCCCAGTGCTGCTGAGCTCTGGCATCCCCTTCAATGTGGCCAGGAACGCACTCCGGCTCAGCGTGGGGCGTCACACCACCAAGGCCGAGGTGGACCTCATTGTGGACGACCTGAAGCAGGCTGTGGCCCATCTGGAGGGTCCTGACTAGGGCGAGGAAGCCCATCCTGCTGTGAGTGTGACGTCAATGCTCCAACTAGGACCCCATCTCCTCCCTGCCCCAGGGCAGCACGTGACTCAAACCCATGTCTCTCCCCAGGGCGTCCACAGCACAGCCATCTCCTTTCCCCAAACTACACAGGGACACCCGGAAGAACCCACATCTCTCCCCAAGATGACCACAGCACACAGCCACCTCCCTACCCCAGACTACACAAGGACTCTGGGTCAGGGTGGTCCTCGGGTACCCGCCTCCGCCTCCTCCCACAGGGCTAGCTGGGATGGCAGCTATCCTGACTTCTCCAGGTGTCTTTTGTCCTGGTGCATGAAGGGTGCCGACTTGGGAGTGTGTATGCTCGGGGCTTCATCTCCCAAGAAAGTGCTGGAGGGGCCTGCTGGGTACATAACCCCCACCCCCCATCCTTATAGGCTGGGGACTAAGTGTCCTATAGGATGGTCACTCCTAGGCCCAGGGACACACATATCCACATTGGATGGTCACTCCTAGGCCCAGGGACACATATATCCACATAGGATGGTCATTCATAGGCCCAGAGACACACATATCCACATAGGATGGTCGTCATCTCCACTGATGAGTGTTCAGATAGAAGTGGGCTGGCCTCAGCTCCTTGCTGGGAGGTGGGGCTTTGTGCCCTCCAGCCAGCTCTCCCTCATGAAGACGGGAGAGTCCAGTTTTGCTTACCCAGCAGCGTCTGCCTGGGCAGCTCGGTCCCTCAGCCCTGCCTCACTGTCCCCTCTGGCCTCTCGGGGCTCATCAGTAGGAGCTGAGTGTGGGCAACAGCCTGTCAGCTCCCATAGAACCCAGCCTTCATCTTCATCTCCTTCAGCACAGGAATCTGTCCTCTCGGATGCATGTTGCGTGTCCCTGTGTAGTGACCATGATTACATAGGATCTGTTTGTAATGGAATCACGTCTTTAACATGAGGGTTTAAAGTGTGAGGTGTTACATGAAGACAAGGAAACTCAGCATATTAATAAAACACTGGGTCGTAAAGGACATCCGGCGGCCTGACCTGGTGCTTTATTCCAGTGGAAAGCGTCAGTAGGGCAGAGGGCCACGGGAGAGACTGGGAGGGTGTTCCAAAATCCCATCCTCTCCCAGCACGATTCTGTTCAGGCCTAAGAGCCGCTCCAGGCTCTCTGGAATGCCCTAGGAAGCTGCTGTGGTCGGGGAGTCTGCAAGGGGCTGTGGGGGGTCCCGCCCCGCTGAAGAAGTGCCAGGTCTGCCCCCATACCTCGGGACCTGTTCCCGCTAGCCCAAGGCCAGGACAGAGCACAAGCAGTTGGTGGAAAAGCAGACACTCCGCCACCACGCCTTCCAGACCATGTTTGTAGTGAACAAACACACTAGGTGCTGGACAGCCATCAGGACAGACTAGTGCATGCACCCCCTCACTCTGCAGGTGAGAGAAGGGGGCACACAGGCCAGGCAGCCTCCCCAGCCCTGCATCTGGCCCGGCTGCAAGCTCCCCCCGGCCCCCACCTTGTGGCTGCCTCCCATCTGCGCTCTGAGCTGCTATCAGGTAACCGGATCCAGGGGCTGGTGTCCATGCCTGAAACAGGAAGCCCGGCCTGCGTGCAGGCCGCCCAGAACCCGCTGGGGTGCCCGGTTGCTGGGGTACCGGGTGGCCCGTCCGAGCATGGCGGAGCAACGGGCACTCACAGCCGCCAAGCAGGGGGACCTGGACACCTTGGAGCAGCTGATGGAGGATGGGGCCCTGGGCCCAGGCCTGGCCGATGCTCTGGGGGCTGGCCCAGTTCACCTGGCTGCCCGTGCTGGCCACCTGGACTGTGTGAAGTTCCTGGTGCAGAGGGCCCAGCTGCCCGGCAATCAGCAGGCCCACAATGGGGCCACACCTGCCCACGACGCTGCCGCCACCGGCCACCTGGCTGAGCTGTGCTGGCTGGTCCGTGAGGGAGGCTGCGGCCTACAGGTCAGTGGGTGGTGGTCTAGTGCAGGCCACCTGGGACAGCCACAGACCTGCAGGGGTGGGGCAGGAGGTGCGAACCCAGGAGGCCCCGGCCCTTTGTGTCCCCAGGGACAGCAGTCTGAGTGTCTGAGCTGGATTTGTGTCCCCGTTCATCCAAAAAGCACTGAAGCACTGAGTGGACACTGACTCTCAGTGCCCCTGTGAGACAGGGTAGGACTGCCCCCAAGGGTTTCCGAGGGTCTCCTCTTTACGGGGGCAGACTGCCTCTTCTGCAGAGCCTGGATGGTGGGTTCCACCTGCAGACCTTCCAGTGAACAGCACAACGCTTAACCCACTGCACCACCAGAGCTCCTCAGAGCCAGCATAGATTCCTGGAAAGCCACAGCCTCCTCCCTGTGAAAGCCCACACTGCCCGGCCCCCAGTAAGACCCATCTTCCTAATCAGGCTGGGTGCTGTGGGCATCGAGTGGCCTGCTGGGGGTCCTAGAGTGAGGGCGACCGGGAGACTGAAGGGTCAGCTCCGCATCACGGCTTCTACACCTGTTCTCACCAGAGAAGCCCAGAGGCAGTGGTGGGCACTGCACACACTTTCAGTTGTGTTCTGATGCCCAGACCAGCTGGTGGGCAGTGGTCAGCACCCCTGGTCTCCTGGAACCTACCACAGCTCCTGGGCGAGTGGAACCTTCCTGACCCAGAGGAGAGCATGGATAGAGGGCCAGGTGAAAAGCCACTGAGACTGGTTTGAGTCCCAGGCCTGTCCCTTCCTGGAGCTGACAGCCAGGCTCCCGGAAGCAACAACATTGGGCAGTGTGGCCTTGGCCAGGCCTGCGGTGGGGTTGCCTCTCATCTTACTCATGGTCCCCATCTGTGGCCTTGGCAGGACCAAGATGCCTCGGGAGTGTCCCCACTGCACCTGGCCGCCCGCTTCGGGCACCCCATGGTGGTCGAGTGGCTGCTTCGAGAGGGCCATGTGGCCACGCTGGAGACACTAGAGGGGGCCTTGCCCCTGCACCATGCTGCTGTAAGCGGGGACCTGACCTGTCTGAAACTTCTGGTGGCCGCCCACAGCAGGTGAGCAGTCAGCCTGGGGGACCTGGGAGAAGAGGACAGCACTGGTGGCTATAGAGGGGGTCCAGCAAGGCCAGCACACTGTCCCCAGGAGCACAAGGTGGGCAGGAACAAGGGGGCGAGGCTCAGAGTGAGGGCATGGGGGGACTTGATGCCCACCGGTGTGAGACAGGTCTAACGGGAGACTAGCCTTTCAGTGTGCGGGACAAGACTGGAGGGGCAGGAACAGCCAACGGAAAGCCCATGTGGGCCTAACAGCGCAACAGGGCCATAGGAAGGAGATGGACTGAGAGTGACCATTCAGGTGGCCTGGATGTGTCCTCTGTACTGGGAACCTCGAACCTCGATGGTGGTGCTCTGAGTCCACATGGTGTGGGCAGCGTGGGGGAGGGTGGCTGAGGCAGGACCTTCATCTCGGCCTGGACATTCTGGTCCTGCCCCACAGATGTTCACCGTCATCACAGTAATGGGCACTTGGGAGTGCTGACCTCAAGACCCCCATCTCATGGCTGCACTGTCTGCCCAGCCTTCTTTCTCATCTGCCCCCATGCCCACCTCTGCTTTCTGAGGGCGGGGCTGTCCGAACACCTGTGGTCCCAGCCGCCAAAATCATTCCAGACAAGCTCTGCGGCTCAGATTGGGGGGATGGGGGGAGTCTTCTCATTCCGTCTGGTCCAAGCAGTCTGTGGACCTTCCCTCAGGTGGCCCCACAGGATGTCCTGGGGAACCACTGTTTTTGAAGTAGGTGCCACCATTTGCAAATTGGGATTTCCCATTCTCACCTCATACACTCACACGTACATATTGTACATATCGCTTGTACACACTGACACCCATTCACACACAGACTCACACACCTACACACACACAGACCCACACCCTACACACTCACACACACTACTACACTTGCACTTGGTGGTGATGTGCTGTGGAGTCGGTTCTGACTCATGGTGACCCTATATATAGGATTTCCGAAGCTGAAGATCTCTCAGGAGCAGAAAGCCTCATTTTTCTCTGGTGGAACCACTGGTAGTTTCAAACTGCTAGTCGTGAGATTAGTCCCCTGACCCGTAACCACTCCATTACCAAAGCTCCTTGTCCCAACACTCATAAGCATACACCCCACACACATACACACCCTTACACCCACAACCTGTTTCTCTATAATTGTCGGAAGACCTGGTCCACATGCCCACCAGACACCACCCATTGGAGCTGAGGGGTGGGCAAGTCCGGGTCCAGTTAGCTGAGTCCAGACCTGCCACCTGGACCTCACCAAGCACAGGCGCCTACTGTGGTCTGTCCATGCCTGATTGGGGTTTGACAGCTGAGGACCTTCTATCCCAGAAAGCGTACTCCATGATCCCATGTCTGGACCTCCTGTTCTGTGACTGAAGGACCAGCCCCTTTGTTGGCAGAACTGGCTCAGCAGGGACCCCAAGGACTCAGAGAAACCTACGAGGACCTGGGGAAGGGGAGGGGAGGGACTCAATCCCAATCCCAAACCTTTGGGCTCAGGGCCTCAGTTTCCCCTTCTGTCAGCTAAGGCCTGTGACTGAGCTCTCATAGGTTTCTCTAGGGAAGATGCCGGCGTCTCAGGGACTCCCTTGCCAGAGTGGGGAAGGGTTGCCGAGGTTCCTAAGAGCTGGTCACCCCCCAGAGGCTCCCAAGAAGTGGAGGGTCTGGAAGCAGCCCCCCGTCTATACTGCAGGCCCAGCCCTCTCCACCCAGCACCCTGAGAACCAGCAGAGACCTCCAGGTCGCCAAGCTGCTGGTCAGAGGGAACACAGGGGACCCGAGGCAGACGGAAGCCTTGGGGAGTTGAGGCCCTGTACCCTGGTACTGCTCTCAAGACCCAGAGACCAGGAAGGAAGGAACGAAGGAGTGTGGGGGATCTCCAAAACGTGGGGGGCGGCCGTAGGATTCAGGAGAGCTTCAGGGTCAAGTAGCCCATGGTGGGCAGGGGTGGACGTTGACGTGAAGGGATGGGGTCAGCTCCGGTAGAGGACTGCCTTTCCTAAGCCACATGGCCGAGGGCAGAGTGGAGCATGGGGACCCCGAGACCTTGCTCTGTTCCATCTGCTATGGGATGAGCACAGCCTGAGCACCAGGTTGGAAGCGGTTCACCGTGTGCGCGGGGCTCACGGCCTGGGCTGCCCGCTGGGCAGTTCAAACTTCAGTACGGCCCTGGACTGGCGCCCCCTGGTGGCCAGGTCCGGTGCTCACCGTGTGAGGGGCCTAGGCGAGCGGACGCTGCGCGTCCCATTTCCGCCGCTGGTGACCCAGGGCCGTGCATCCTGCGCTCCTGCAGGTGACCCTGTAAGTGGATGGGCACAAAACGGGCGCAAGCACCGCTCCCTACGCTGCGCCCCCAATGAGCACCCCCTCCGTCCTCAGCGGCGTGAACCAGAGGACTGGCAGCGGCGCCTCCCCGCTCTACCTAGCCTGCCAAGAGGGCCACCTCCACCTGGCGCAGTTCCTGGTGAAGGACTGCGGCGCCGACGTGCACCTGCGTGCCCTGGACGGCATGAGCGCGCTGCACGCCGCCGCCGCCCGAGGCCACTACTCGCTCGTCGTCTGGCTGGTAAGAGGGTGCCCGGCGGGAGTGGGGAGGGGTCCAGGAACCTGAGGACTCATTCCCCTGCCTTTGAATTGCCTCGGAGCCAGCAGAACCTGGGTCTCAGTTTGCCCACCGTAGACATGGGCACCCCCAGGGTTGTTGGAGGTCCGATGGGAAGGACACCAAGGCCATGTGAACAGAAGCCAGTACAAGTTAAACACGCCCCCTTGTGCTCCAGGTCCCTGCAGGGGCTTTAACCACGTGGTGGAGCTACTCCTGAGGTTCTCCAGCCCACCCTAACCCCAACCCTGTGCAGGCCTTTGAAAAAGTCCACCTTCCACCCCCGGGGCCTACTCCCCCAAGGAATCAGAGGTGTCCAATGCTGACCACACCCGTCCTGGGCTCCCACCTATCCTGGACCCCTTGGCCATACATTCTGGCCAGGCCAGCCTGCGCTCAACCAGGTCCAGTCCACCCCTCTCGCTGGACTGGATGCATAGGGGCTGTTCAGGTTTCTTTCCTTCCAAAGACCCAACCTAGTGGTGGGCGTGGGCTACCCCCAGGAAGTGGCTGGGTGAGAGCCTTGCCCACTGAAAACTCCAGACTCCTGGGAAATCAGAGAATCTGGCCCCTGAGGGGGAGAGAACAGGCCGAGCCAGCCCTGGGGTCCCCAGCTCTTCCTGAAGACACTGGAGAGCTGATGGAGGGCCCGGAGCCCAAGGCAGCTGGACTCAACCAAGCATTTCCAGAGCTACTCTGGGTGCCATGAGGACCCATCTGCTGGGAGACTCTTCCCTCCTGTGCCGCCCCTCACCTACAGCTCCTGGGTTTCCTCAGGCTGGCTGACTCCCACCTCAGAGGGGGGCCTGCCACACCCCAGCGCCCCCTCCCCTGCCTGCCTGTCCTGTTATTGGTGCCACCACCTGGCTGATGGCATATTTGATTCTTATTTCACCTGTCCCTGTTCCCCAGGCTTGGCACATAGTAGATGCTCAGAAAGAGTTCATGGAAGGAGGGAAGGAGTCAGGGAGAGAGGGCTCTGTGGCCTTTGGGTAGTCTCCAGTCCCTCAGAGTGGCACCTGCCTCCCCTCCCTCTGAAGCCCAGCTCCACCCTCTGCCTCACCCTCAGCACCACGCCATGTGCTCTGTGTCTGTCATGTGGCTGCAGCCATTCTGAGCCCCACACCCCCAGGCTGTGGATCAGGCCACACCCGACACCAAGGATGACCTTCCCTCACTCCCACACCCTCTCCCTTCAGCAGCAAACTGCCCCTAGGTGCCAGGTGTGGGTGTTTTCATTTGATAAATTACACCAGCCCCTGGGGTGTTTGGAGTAAAGTTTGAGCTGGGACCCATTTAGGGATGATGGAGTTTCCGAAGAAAACCCCTGGGGACTCATTGTGCCCCTCCCTGAGCCCTGGCTGTCACCCTGCCCAGGAGTTACAGGGATGGGTCTGAAGAGCAGGTTTTGTCCTCTGAGTTTCCTGGAGTCGGGGGTGGGGGTGGGGGGGCTCTTTCCTCCCTGACAGCACAGATCCTTTTCCTCCCCTCCACCCCCTCCGGTGCCCAGCCCCACCTGCTGACCGGTCCCCCTCTACTTCTGTGTCCAGGTCACATTCACTGACATCAGCCTGATGGCGAGGGATAATGATGGGGCCACAGCCCTCCACTTTGCGGCCCGAGGTGGACACACACCCATTCTGGATCGGCTCCTGCTTATGGGTGTCCCCATCATGAGAGATTCCTGGGGCGGGACCCCGCTCCACGATGCAGCGGAGAACGGGCAGTTGGAGGTGTGGTGGGCACGGGCAGGGCGGGGTGTGAGGTGTGGGGTTACTGTACCACAACAGCCCTGTGAGTGGCCTCACTGCTCTTAAGTACTAAGATGGGCGCTTTGGCCCGTTTTACAGAGGGGTCGATGAAGGCTCAGAGAGCAGAGTCACTTATTTGCCCAAGGTCAAGTAGTAAAACCAGGATCCGAACTCAGCCCTCCCCAGCTGCTCCATGCTAGGCTCCCTTACAGCTCCCACCGATGGCCCATTCTGGGATGACATCACACAGTCCTCCAAGGGTGGTCTCGACCAGGGTCACCTTCCCCCCAAGAACCATGCCTGGGGGTGATGTGAGCGAGCGTCTTATCACCTGGAAAGCTTTGGGGCTCAAGGACACAGCACCCAGAAACCTCCAGTAGTGCAAATATTGACCAGCCCATCAGATCTTCATCAGCCCAACAACCCGACCCTTGAGAATGACCTTCGTGAGTGCCCACCTGGGCACGTGCCTTGTCTAAAAACTATGCCATTTACAAGGGGCTTCAAAAAGATCGTGGGAAAGTGGAATGAAAAGGAATGCAGTGTTTCCAGTGACTTTTTGAAGCCCCCTGAATAGGGAAAATGCCTAGGTCCACCCAGCCACCTGCCTCATGCTATCCTGAACAGTATATCCCCTAAAGCATGTCAGTCATTTCCTTGGGGTTTCCTGGGCTTCCCCCATCTTGTCCCTGAACCTCCAGGGCTCAACTAAGATGTGACACAACCACACCAGACTGTGTTGTTGTTATTGTGGTGCCATCGAGTCAGTTCTGACTAATGATGACCTGTATAGGGTTTCCAAGGAGCAGCTGGTGGGTTTGAACTGCCGGCCAGTGTTTACCCTGCAGTGCCACACCAGGACTCCTGCATCTTGTGTTGTTGTTGTTAAGTGTTGTTGAGTCAGTTCCAACTCATAGTGACCCTGTGTAGAGTTTCCAAGGAGCGACTGGTGGGTTTGAACCACTGACCTTGTGGTTAGCAGTCCAGCGCTGATTCTACAGTGCCACACCAGGTCTCTAGCTTCTGCTGTTGTTATGTTGTTGTTATGTGCCATCGAGTCGGTTCCGACCCATAGCGACCCTGTACAGGGTTTCCGAGGGTGTAAATCTTTACGGGAGCAGAAAGCCTCATCTTTCTCCCGCGGAGCACCTGGTAGTTTCGAACCGCTGACCTTAAGGTTTCGCAGCCCGATTCATAACCACTACGCTACCAGAGCTCCTTCTGCTTGAGAAACATTTTTTTCTCCACATTTAATAGCCTTTATTTTTTCAGAGCAGTTTTAGATTTACAGAAAAATTGTGCAGGAGGTACACAAAGAGAAGTTGTATAACCCTCCTCCACAGTTTCCCCAAGGATTCGCATCTTGCATTCAGGTGGTACGTTTGTTATATTCAGTGCGCCAATACCAATACATTATCACTTATTGAAGTCCACAGTTTGATGTTTGTGGACCATCAGCAAAGGAAGGTCCTGAAAGCTTTGCTCCATCCATATCTATAAGGTCAGCTTTGCTTTGAGGAGGCAGCTCTTCCCCAGTCGTATTTTAAGTTTCTTCCAACCTGAGAGGCTCAGCACTATACTGGACAATGGTCCACTGCTGTTCATCAGCCAAGTTCACGCCTAGTCCGTCTCAGTCTGGAAGCTCCGCTGGAACCTGTCCACCATGGGTGACCCTGCTGGTGTATGAAACACCAATGTCAGAGCTTCCAGTATCTCAGCCACACAGAACCCCCCCATAGTCCGACCAACGCGCAGACGAGTGGTGACGTCGTTTATGTGAGGGTTCACCCTCGTGTTGTACAGGCCTTTGGGGTTTAACAAACGCTGAGAGTCAAATGGCCCCCATTATATAGCATATAGAATCATTTCACTGCCCTAAAAATGCCCTGTGCCCCACCTGTCCATCCTGTGTTGGTGTGAGGTGCGGCTGAGTCAGTTCACACACAGTGACTTCAGTGTCCAGCAGAAGGAAACTGCCCAGCCCTGGCCACTCTCACAATCTTAGCTATGGGCTGTGTGCGAGCCCACTGTGGCAGCCACTGGGTCAGTCCATCTCATGGACGGGCTTCCTCTTCTTTACTTATGCCGTACTTCAGCGCTTGGCTGCTAACCTTAAGGTCGGCAGTTCAAACCTAGCAGCTACTACTCAGGAGACAGGTGTACTGTGTTCTTCTGTAAAGATTAACCGAACCCAGAAATCCATTGCTACAGCATCCATTCCAGCTCTCGGCCTTGGAAACCCTACAGGGCGGTTCTCTTTGGTTCTGGAGGGTCCCTGTGAGTCCGAATCAACCCAGAGACAATGAGCTCTGTTCTCCTAAAAGAATGATTTCGTTTGAAGTGTAGCTGAGCATCCCATCCTAGACTGAGGTTCCCAACAACTGTTCCCAGATGGGACATGAGGTGCCCCGGGGCCCCAGCTGCACACGACAAAGAAACGCAGTCCAGCAGCCAAAGTAGAGTCCTTCAGGCCTGACTGGCATCTTTGGAAGATAACCCTTCTCAAAATCACCCTTCTCTGAGTCTCAGGGTTCAGAACCTGAACCCCCTTCTACCACAACCTTTGCTCCCTTCAGTTCACCCACTCCCCTCCACCATCCCAGCTCAGAGCCCCAATTCTCTGCTCCCCCCATCCAAGGCCCCCTGAGGAGGTGACCACCCATAGCGGACCACCCAGCTCCTCCTGCATGTCTAACCTGCTGCCTCTGCTCAGCCGAACATTTACATGCTTATGTCCCCAGCAGCTCTCTGAGGTCATTCTCCTGCCTTCCAGAAAAGTCTGCCTCATCATGACCCTAGAGGACTACAGAGAACTGCCCTTTGTTTTTGGGCTGGATGGTGGATTACGAGCTGAACTGTTAACCAAAAGGTTAGCAGTTCAAATCTAATAGCCGCTCTGTGGGAGAAAGATGAGGCCTTCTGCTCCCGTAAAGATTTACAGTCTCAGAAACCCTGTGCAGGGTCAGTGTGAGTCGGAACCAGCTCCACGGCACATCACCACCACCACCCACCAGATCTTCACGGGGGCAGAAAGCCTCATAGTTCTCCCTTCAGCAGCCCAGTACTTAACCCACTGTGCCACCAGGGATCTTTCCCTTTAGGGTTGTTGTCGTTAAATGCCGTCGAGCTGGTTCTGACTCATACCAATCCTCTATATGGTTTCCAAGGAGCTGCTGGCGAGTTTGAACACTGAACTTTCGGTTAGCGATCCAGTGCTGATACTACAGCGTCACACCAGGATTCCCTCTGGGGTAGGGGTGGTAGTGATTATGTGCCATTGAGTTGCTTCTGACTCATAGTGACCCTGTATAGGGTTTCTGAGGCTATAAATCTTTATGGGAGCAGAAAGCCTCTTCTGTCTCCCACAGAGTCATTGGTAGCTCTGAACTGCCGACCTTGAGGTTAGTAGCCCAACGTGTAACCTACTACGCTTCCAGGGCGCCTTCCCTCTAAGGTTTGTTGTTTAAATGCTGTCATGTTGCATCCAACTCACAGTGACCTTGTATGGTGTTTCCCAGGAGCAGCTGGTGACTTTAAACTGCCAACCTTGCAGTTCAAACCGACCTTGCAGTTAAGTGTTTATCTTACCAAGACTCTGTCCCTCTAAAGTTGTAGTTGATGTCACATGCCGTTGAGTTGATTCCAACCCATAGTAAGCCTATTATAGGGTTTCCGAGGAGCAGCTGGGTGGGTTTGAACTGCCGACCTTGTGGTTCAAACTGACTTTTCGGTCCAGCACATTATCCTGCAGCACCACACCAGGACTGCCCCTCAAAACAGGGGTCAGCAAACCTGCTAACTAGCTCCAGCCCACCACCTGTCTTGAGAAGGCGCCACAGTCTAAGAACAGTTGTCACGTTTTTAAATGGAAACAAAAGGAAAATATATTCAGACACAGAAAGTATTCATTACATTAAAACTTCTGTGTCTGTGATAAAGTTGCATAGGAACACGTATGTCCCTGTTTCTCGATTATCTGTGGCTGCTTTTGCCCGTCAGTGGTATACCAGGGAATGAGTAAGCACAGAGCCTGGTGTGTTTCTCCATGGTCCTTTACGAGCATGCCTGCTGGGCCTGTGAGGGAGGCACTCCGCTGTCAGGACGGGGGCTGAAATGACATGAGCTATTCTCACACTAAAGAATTCTCACACAGCTGGGTCAGTGTCCTGGGCTCCATTGTCTCTGGGCTCACCCTCCTCAGCATGTTGGGTCCATGGTGTGGTAGGCCTCAGCCCATTCAGGGCAGGAGGAAGTGCAGGGCAGGGACGCCCCAAGCTGGGCATTTCCTCTTACGTCTCCTAGCTGAGAGTCCACCCCGGGGCCTGACATTCACAGCCCAAAGCGGGGAGTTGACACTGGCCAGGTGGACCAGTATTGACTCACCCTCTGATTGAGGAGAGTCTCCCCGCTCAGAGGGCGCCCCCTGCTGGCTCGACAGTAACAAAGGGCACCAGCTGTGTGTGTCCTACTACTAGTTCACTGTTGGTGACCCAAACTGCGATAGAACAGAGGTCCATTTGAACCCCAAGGTCAGCAGTTCAGACTCACCAGCCGCTCCTCAGAAACCCTATACATAGTCGCTGGGGGTCAGAACCTACTCAACGGCACTTAACGACAACAATCTTTATAAGGAGTCCCGGTGTGGTGCCATAGTATAAGCACTGGAGCACAAAGTCCATTTGAGCCACAAGAATTGAGGTTCAAACTCACTAGCCACCACCCCTCAGAAGTCCTATACACTCAATGGCACTTAACAACAACAACAATACACATATATGTGTGTGTTTGTATGTATGTCAGCACTGGACTGCGAACCACAAGGTTGGCAATTTGAACCCACCAGCTGCTCCTAGAAAACCCTATATGGGGTCACTATGAGTCGGAACCAATTCGACTGCACAACATCCATCTTCCATGGAAGGAGATTGTTAAGTCTTTCTTCTGTGGGCCACTGGGTGAGTTTGTACCGCCAACCTTAGGTTTAGCAATCAATCAAAAACTGTGCCATTAGTGTCCTTGTCCCTGCTCTCTGCCCAGCTCACTGACCAGCAAGTCATGGTACCAGGATATGACCAGGTCCCTGGGGCCTTCTGGTGATAATTCAAGGACCCCTGGTATCAGCATGACTAAATGCTGATCACCTAGAGGTCCAAGGTTCAAAACCACCAGCCACACTGAGGAAGAAACATGTGACAGTCTGCTTCCGGAATAATGCCAACCCCAGAAATGCCACGGGGCAGTTCTGCTCTATCCGAAAGGGTCGCGATGAGTCGAAAGCCTCACCAGCAGTAGGTCTGCTCTGGGGTTTGAGTTCTAGTTCAGCGTTTGTTCTTGGCCTGACGCCCCACACAACCCTCTCACTCAGCTCCAGTCTGATGCACCGACTCCGGGAGTGGGGTACGGGGCAAGGAGCCTGCAGCCAGGGGCAGTGGATTCTGTTCTGTAGGTCTCAGGTCTCCGTTAAACTCAGCGCACGCACGGGAGATGGGGCCTAACTGGTCTAAGGCAGTGTCTGATCAGAGTCACCCTGTTCAAGGGGGAGAGTCCAAATGCTCAGGGTCCCAAAGGGGTCACAGAGCTTATGGAAATAGTTCTAGAAGCTCCCATTCTTTCCCATCTGAGTCTTTCATGCCCCCCACCTCAGGTTTCCCCCAGCTGTCTACGCCTCCAGGCCTCCTCCTCCCCCAGCCCTGACTTCTTCCCTGCCCGCTTTCTCCCAAAAAGCCAAGTGGGAAGTGAGGGAGGTGGACAGAGGCCCTGGTCCAGGTGAGGGGCTGGACTGGCCAGTGCAGTGGGGGACAAGGGGCTCCACCCATATCAGGGCTCAGAAACATGGGGGGTGGGGTGGGCAGAAAGGAGGGCAGAACCTGAAACCTGGGGGACACAACTCTACCTGCATATGGGGGGGGCATGCTGGGAGATAAGGCGGCTGAGTCCTGGGAACCTGGGGGCGAAGCCCAGGGCCCTTGTTCCTCCCTGGGCTGAGTGTGCACGCCTTAGACAGCCACTGCAGTTGGCACTGATCCCACGAGGTTCTGCCCCCCACCCCACAGCTGTGCTCCCATCGGACAAGGGCAGCTGAAGTGTGTGTGGTACTGAGCATGGAAGGGTGGTGTCCCCAGGCCTGGCTGTGGGGCCGCTGTGGGAGTCAAGGTCTCCGCCCCAGTGGCCTTGGTGTCGCTCCTGTGCATAGGGCCCAGCACGTAGGGACTGTCCTTGGTGTACATGGTGGGTCACACGTCTGCCCTCCACTACAGTGCTGCCAGACCTTGGTCTCCCACCACGTGGACCCCTCCCTCCGAGATGAGGATGGTTACACAGCCGCAGACCTGGCCGAGTACCATGGACATCAGAGCTGTGCCCAATACCTGCAGGACATGGCCCGACCGGTAAGCAGGGTGTGGGGGAGGGACTCCTTGGTCTGTGGACCTGGGCTGGGCTGGAACCAGCATTTGGTACATTGTTTCCTGGGTGACTCAGGGGTCCCAGGGGCGGGCAGAAGGACCCCAGGTCCCTTTGGGCTCTGGCTGTGCCTCTGCCTAGCAGGTAAGCCTGAGTATGCCGGGCCAGCCCCATCAGAGCCCCAGAGAGCCCTCCTCCCTGGGAAAGCAGGTGTTGGTCCCTAGCGGTTGGCGTCAGACAGTCTCAACACCTCCCTAAGCCTGTTTCCTCATTAGTAAGGGTGAGGACTTCATCTGTCTTGCTCAAGCTGGTCCCCAGCTCCAGTGTTCATGAATAAGTGATCACGTGAAGAACTGGGCAAGCAGATGAATGGGGGAGTGAATCAATGAATAAGTGGATAACGTGGCAAGTGTGTGAATGAATGAACAGGTATGTAAATGCATGAACGGGAGAGAGGAATAATGAGTGAAGGGACAAGTGAGTGAATGAATGTGAACGTAAGAAAAGGCCTGTGAATGAATGGACAGATGAATGAGTGAATGAATGAATGAACAGATGAATGAATGAATGAATGAATGAATGAATGAACAGTGAGTGAATGAATGAGTGAAGAAACTGCAAGTTGGAGAGTTCGTGTGGCCATCCTCACTTTGAATGAGCATTCTGGCTGTACTTCTTCCAGGACAGATTTATTTGTTCTTCTGACGGTTCATGGGACTTTGAATATTTTTCTCCCACACCATAACTCAAATGCATCCGTTCTTCTGTGGTCTTCCTTATTCACTGTGCAGCTTTCCAATGCATATCAGGTTGTTGAAAATACCACGTGGGGTCAGGCACACCTTAGTCCGCAAAGTGACAGCATTGCTTTTTAACATTCTAAAGAGGTCTTTCGCTGCAGATTTGCTCAATGCAATATGTCATCTGATTTCTTGGTCTGGTAGTGAAGTGGTTACGAATCGGGCTGCGAACCGCAAGGTCACCAGTTCGAAACTACCAGCTGTTCCGTGGGAGAAAGATGAGGCATTCTGCTCCCGTAAAGATTTACAGCCTCGGAACTGACTCCACGGCACTTAACAACAACAACAATTTTCATGGGTATTATTATGGATCAAAGTAGAATGAAGTCACTGACAATTTCAGTCTTTTCTACATTTATCACGATGTTGTTTATTGGTCCAGTGGTGAGGAGTTTCGTTTTCTTAACATTGAGGTCCAACCCGTATCTAAAGCTGTGGTCTTTGATCCTCATGAGAAAGACACGAAGGAGACTGCAGGTTATTATACGTCCTGTGGTCAGACATTTATTTTCTCAGTCTGGAGGTTACATGTGGAGGTCCTTCTTTGTCTCTGAGTGTCTGGTAGCTGCAGCCACCATGGTGCTCCGGGCTCATAGGCACATCTGCCTCCATCTTCATGTGGCGTCGTCCCTCTGTATGTGATTCTCCAGGTCTGCTTTCCATATTTCTGATGAGACACCACTCTGAAGTAATTTTGTGTAAGGCCCAGGCTACTCCAATATGACCTCATTCACTTAACAAAAGGAAAACCTGGTTTCCATTCAAGGACACGTTCATAGGGTTAGGACCTCAATGTCTCTTTGTGGGGGACACAATTCATCCCAATCAGTTCCCTCACTGAGTATTCCTGCAGCCTCCACATCCCTGCCTGGCCAGAGGCCTCCCCTTCCCCCGGTGCCCCAGCCTGCTGTGGTCAGTTGGTCTGTCCTCCATGACCTCATCCACACCTCTTCCTCTCCAGTTCTGATTCTGGGTCAGACCTGCCTGCTACTTTCCAGTCTAAACCCTTAGCTTTTGGAGGTGAGTCATTTGTGAGTTTTGTTGGGAACTTGGGGGAAGGACTGAAGTTCCCTGCTTTTGTCCTCACCTCTTGAGAAGTACTGTGCACACCTGCCCATAGGTGTTGAACCTCCAAGGTCCAGGCAAACCTATTTCTTGGATCTCGGGTTCCCCAGAGGGCTGCCCTGCTTGGGGAGGAGAGGGGAGGAGATCGGGCCCCCTCCGCACTCGCACTGGGCGGACTCTCCAGTGGCCCAAGCCCCCCACCCTCCCCGCAGGATGGCCGGATTCCTGCTTGCGTGTGGGGAGGGCACTATCAGCCACAGCTGATGCAATATTGATGGGAACACAGTATCAGAGGTCCCCATGCTGGCCTCCGAGGAGGTGGGGCAGACTGAGTGCCAGGGGAGGCGGTTTGGGGACAGGCTAGAGGCACAGGGGAGGGGTGCCCACCTCCAGGGTCTATGGGACCTCAGAGCAGCCAAGCTCAGCTGGGCCTCCCTCCTTCTTCTCCGCACAGCCTCTCCACCTTACCAAGCTCTCTCTCCCTGTCCCTGGGCTCAGTGCTATGAGGGGTGGGCTACTCCAACCTGGGGTGGGGCAGGAGACAGAGGGAGCCTGGAGACAGCCCCTGCCCCACCCCTGCCATCAGCCTGGGTGCAGGGCTCGGAGCATCCTGCTCACCCCACACGGCCTGCCCTGCACCCCCAGCTGCAGCAGGACAGCAGAGGAGAGAGGGAGGGAACAGGCTGGAGCCAACTTGACCTCCAGAGCTGGAAGGTAAATCCCGGCCAGCTGTGAGCCTCAAGTCTGGCTTCATAATATGGGTCAGACACTGGCACAGCCCCGGGCTGCTCTGGCCCTGTGATGTTGGTTCCCATACTTGGTGACCCTGTGTACAACAGAATAACACAGTGCCCAGTCCTGTACCGTTTACTGGGTGGTCCTGGTACCAGCTAATTCCCTCCCCCTGGGTCTGGACGGCCTTTGTCAGCTACCATGGGTTCTGACTCATGGCGCCCCCTTGTGGCACAGAACAGAACTGCCCCATGGGGTTGTCTTGGCTGTCATCCCCCTTGGAAACCGCTTAGTGGGTCCAACTGTTCTCCTTTCACAAATCACTGCACTAACTAACTAGGCTTCCTCTGTGGCTCCTAGACGCCTTCATTTTACAGATGGGGAAACTGAGGCCCAAAGCCAAGAGACTCTTGTGGCTGTCTCTTCCCTAGGCAGGGGCAGGCGCAGCCTCTCAGCCAGTAACCGAATCTCAGTCGTCTGCTGTTGCTGATCCCTGGGTCATGATTTTCTCGGCCTGGGTGGCATTACAGACCTGTAACCCTGCTCGGAGGCCGCCCTCGATGTATAATGCATGGCCGACACCACACTGCTCAAATCTCACAAAAACACAGGAAAAGAGTACGATCGGAGAAAAGGCCAGGCCAGGCCAGCACGGCCACCACCCCTGAGGTCACCCCAAACCAGATGCAGGGCCTGGGAGCTGTGCAGGGCCCAGGACCCGGAAGATCATGACCCTAACCCACCAATCATTAGGAACCTCCTAGCTTTCTGCTCTGGTGAAGATTTATAGCCTCAGAAACCGACTCCACGCCACATAACCACTACCACCAGGTTAGGTTTGGATTCCTGGTGGGGCGCTCTGAGGAAATGTGCTGGACTGCAAAATCAGCTTGATCCGCAAGACCGGTGGTTCAAACTCACCAGCCACTCCTTGGAAAGCCTATACAGGGTTGCTGTGGGTCGAAATCAACTTGACGGCACTTAACAACAAAGATTCGGTTTGTAACCGTGGCTGAGTGAATGGGGCTCAGGGACATGATTCCGTGTGTGCTCTGTCTCCCCTCTGCAGCTCTAACTTCTTCCTGAAGACCATGAAGGGAGGCTGAGGTGGGGCAAGAGAGAGCGGGTGTGGACCATCCATCTTTCCTTCCTCCCTGCCCGCACTGAGCCCCTCATTCTGTGACTTCTCAGCCTGCCCCACCTTGGTGAGGGGGCGGGGGGCAAAGGCTGAGGGCATCTAGATGGGGGTGCATACTGTCCAGGTCTGGCAGAGGAGCCCCGCCCCGCCTTCCTCTGGCCAGCATCTAATGGTCAGCCCCTGACTTCTGTGTCCACACTTCCATGGGCTCAGGGGTCACGCAAAGTCTGGGTTGGCAGGAGTCCAGGATTCCTGGGTCTCAAAACAAACCAGAAACAAACAAACAAACTGGTTGTCATCAAGTCAGATGCAACTCTTAGCAACTCCATGCACTGCATTGTGGACAGAACGCCGTGCGCTGCGGTGTAGATAGAACGCCGTGCGCTGCGGTGTAGATAGAACGCCGTGCGCTGCGGTGTGGACAGAACGCCGTGCGCTGCAGTATGGATAGAACGCCGTGCGCTGCAGTGTAGATAGAATGCCGTGCGCTGCAGTGTAGATAGAATGCTGTGCGCTGCAGTGTGGACAGAACGCCCTGTGCTGCAGTGTAGCTAGAACGCCGTGTGCTGCAGGGTAGATAGAACTCCATGTACTATAATATTTATGGGGGGAGATCACCAGAACTTTCTTCCTCAGCACCGCTGGGTAAATCGAAGCCCTCAGCCTTTGGCCTAGTAGTGAAGCATGAACTGTTGGAGCCAGTTTTTCACAGGAGGCAGTGTATGAGCTCTGTAGTCGAGGTTGGCACAGGACTGCACAGTGTTCTGTTCTGTTGTGTACAGGGTCGCTATGAGTTGGTACCGACTCAACGGCAACTGACAACAACTTGCCTCCAAGTTCCAAGGTGGCTCAGAGGGCCACCCCACACAAAGTCTCAAAGCCACGGGACCCTTTTAAAGCAGGCATTAAGCACCTCTTCTTCCTGGGGTCACTCTCAGCAACATGCCCCTGAAAAACAGTTCATGTGGGCATGGCTGGTCCAACCAACATGTCGGAGCTAAGACCCACCAGGCTGCCTCTTCTCCGCCCACTCTTCTGCCCAGTTCTCATCTGCCTTCCCTCCTCTGGTACCCATGAGGGGTGGCCCTTGGGCAAAAGGACCAAGAAATCCTTGGGTCTGTGGGGAGCAAGCCCGATTCTGATCCTGTGGCGATGCCACCTCCTGTCCACTCTGAGCCTCGGTTTCTCCATCTGTGCTCAGGGGCTGTACTGGGGTAGAGGTGTGTACTACTACAGAAAGGGTCTGGGGCACTGTAAGGGATCCCACACCCCAGCCCAAGCCTGCTGGGCCACCTGACACCTCCACCTTCAAATATTCATGGGCACACACACACATGCTGCTAGGCTAAGACCTCCATCCATCTCCCAGTCCAGGGGCGGCATCTGCCCCAGTGCCCAGCTGCTCCCTCTGGGCTCCGCATTGAAAACTGGACCCCTGGAAGGAGTGAGTACAGGATGGGCACAGGCTCAGGGCACCCCCACAGGCTGCCCTGCTTGGGGGTCAAAACTTCCTGCCAAGAGGGGTGAGCAGGCGGAGGCCGGGGGCCAGCCCAGATGGGACCTGGTAGGCCACTCAGAATTTCAAGGGCTTGGGAACCAGGTGCCTGGTTACTTGACTCAGAATTTCAAGGGCTCGGGGACCAGGGGCATTGGGATCTCTGAGCACCGTCCCCAGACCTGGCCTGGCCACATGGGCCGAGATGGGGGCTGATGCCCCTGCCAGGCACTCGGCAGCAGCCTGCCTCCCCCAATTGAGCCACCCCCCCTTCACTGTTTGCTGGAGAGAAGGGCTGGGAGGGGTCTCAGAGGGATCAGTGGGTGTCAGAGTGTCCATGAGGAGACTGAGGACCTCAGGCCATCGTAAGCTTCCTGTGGTGCCCATTCGACTCAGGCAGTGGGAGGAAAGAGCTCTTGGGAAAGCAGGGAGGGAGACAGGATCCAGGATGCCATGACCAGCCCTGGGCAGGACACCCCGTGATGGGATATGGTGCCTAGGCCCTCCAATCAAGGACTTTTGGGGTGCTCAATGGTCAGAGCCTGCAGGGGCTGGTGTGGATTCCCCAATATCAGGCTCCTGGGAGCTGACCTGGGGGACTCTGGGCCTGGCGGTCCTAGGCCAGGTGCTATCCTTGACCCTGTCCAGCCGGAACACCACCTGCTGTGGACACTCCACCACCCCAGGGCAAGTTTACCTCAGTGCAGCCCTGCTTATAGAGAAACCTGGGGGGAGGGGACGTCTGAGTCCTTATAGACTGAGAAACCTGGGGGTGCAGGGCCTGGCTGGCTGCTCTGGGCCCCCACAGCTCTGGGGGGTATGGTCCTAGCTCCTGCCCTTCACTCATGAGGTGGGGGGAGGAAATGCCGACGGCAGAGGCCAGGGATGGGGTGGGGACAGGCCTCAAAGAAGGCAGCTGAGTGGATATCAAGGATCAGGGACCATGTGGTCTGTGCCCCAGGCCTTGGGGTCTTCACCTGAAAATAGGGTGATGCAAAGTGGCCTTGGCTGAGGGGCACACGGATCCCCACGCCTGGTCCATTGCCGCCCACCCAGAGGAACCGATGGTTCACATGGTCGGGGAGGACGGAAGCTCGGAGGGTCTCTTCTCAGACCAGTCAGGGGGTCGTGTGCACATGCGAGTGTGTATGCATGTGGCCTGTGTGTGATTGCACATGTCTTGCAAAGCCCAAACGTGCACACAAGCCAGACTCCAGCACCCAGAGCCCCTACTCACACTGCCCAGGTGTGGGGGCCACAAACTGTACTTCAGGATGGGCTGGGGGAGTGGAAAGGTGTGTTCACAGGTGGGGGTGGCACAGTGAGTGACTGTACCCAGACGAGCTCTGCGGGGCTGTTTGGGGAGCCCCAGGCCACCCAACGTGGAAGGAATGTAGGGACTGGTAGAGAGACAAGACCTGCTCACCTGTCCTCCTGTGCCCCCCACCCCCAGGGAAGCCGGCCAGGACATCACCCTGTGGGCCCCCCCATAGTACCCTATCCTGTAGCACTAGGGCCAGCCCCAGTAACAGCCCCGCTGGGCCTCTGCTGACCAGGCCTGTCCACCCACAGGTACCGCTGATGATGACGCCACCACCGCCACCATTCCCCCCTCCCCCGCTGTCAGCTGCCAGGTGCACCCCGGAAGGGGGAGCAAGAGGGGGCTCAGGGCTCGGCAGCCCCAGGCGTGAGTACATGGGGGAGGGTATGGGGGCACACAGGGCACCAAGGAAGGTTGAGGACCCTTCACCACCCTCTCCTGCCTGAGTTTCCTTGGTGGTCTTCATGGCTCTCCTAAGGTGAAAAAACAAAAAACGTTTTTAAACCCCACTGTTGGCCTGCAAGGACAGGTCAGGAGGCTAGTGGACAGAGGTTGAGTGCTAAGGTAGTCCCGACATGAAACCTCAGGGACCCAACTCAAAAACAAGTCAGTCCACTGCTGTCTAGTGGGTCCTGACCCTAATGACTGTGGAGAACAGAGAAGGACAGGCTCAGAGGGTCTCCAAGGCAGTCATTTCTACAGAAGCCGAATGCTTCGTCTTTCTTCCATGGAACAGCTAGTGGGCGACCTTGCATTTAGGAGCCCAACACTTAACCCTCTGCACCCGGGCTCCTAAGGTGTTGCCAAACATTTCCCACAGTGAGTATTCTAAGACCCCAGAACCAGCCCCAGTCCAGCCCCCTTGGCCCCTCAGTACCAGCAGAAGGTCACTCCGAGCTCAGGCCCAGCCTCCTGCCCAGGTGACCTTGTGGGACCTCTGCTTGGCTGGAGGTCCTCAACCTCAACCTGCTCTGGGATTGTGGCAGGTCCTCAGACTACAGGTCAACCATGTGCTTGGGGATGTGACCAGAATTATGAAAACAGTGAGCAGCGTGTGAATACCAGAAAGCATCCTTGGATTGAGGGTAGACATGCTTCAGCACATGTCTTCATTACATCCATCATACATGTGAATGTGTTTGTGCCTGTCTGGGGGGTGAGGCAAGTGCATGTCTGTGTGTATGTGTGTGCACATGTCTATGTGTGCTCATGGGCCTGTGTCTGTGTGCACGTGTGTGTACATGCATATATGTGTGCTTGTGTGCACGTGTGCATGTTTGTCTGCATGCAAGTGTGCTTGTGTGTGCATGTTTGTGTGTACACTCGGGTTACATATGTATGCCTGCTTGTATGTGTGCAAGTGTGCGTGTGTAGCTGTGCATGCATGATCATGTGTGCATGCATGTGCCTTGTGTGTTTGCACATGTGTGTGCTTGTGTGTATTGTGAAGGCATGCATGTAGATGTTTGTGTACACATTTCATCATATATGTGTGCATACTCATGTGTGCACATGTGCACATGCTTGTCTCGCAAGAGTATTCATGCTGGTATGTATGCAAGTGTGCTTATATGTGCATGGGTATGTGTGCATGCATGTTTACATGTGTGCGTGCTTGTGTGTGCATGTGTTCATGTGTGTACGCATGTGTGCTTGTGTGGTGGGGGTGGAGGGTAGGAACTTGTGTTCAGTGGCCCCACAGGGCTGCCTCTGAGCACCGTGCCTTCCTCACTCCTCCCAGGGAGGGTTCAGGTGGGCGTGATGGGCAGAGTGAGATCCACCAACACCCACTCCATCCAGTGGGTTCCTACTCACAGCAGCCTAGTAAGACAGAGTGGAGGTGCTCCTTAGGGTCTCCGAGACAGTACAGCTCAGACAGCCTCATCGTTTGCCCTCAGAGCACCGGCTGGGTTGGTTAAGACAAATTTGCCATCAGTCACCCAAAGCTTAACCCACTGCACCACCAGGGCTCCTTACTTGAGCAGAATCACCAAGCCCACCAAACCCACTGCCATGGAGTCAGTTCTGTATGGAGTTTCTGGGCTGTATATTTATGGAAGCGACAGCCTCATCTTTCTCCCTCTGAGTAGCTGGAAGTTTGAATCACCTACCTTATGGTTAGCAGTCCAGTGCTTATCCAGGGGTCCTTTGAATGAGGTGTTGTTGTTAAGTGCCATCAGGTAGTTTCCGACTCAGTGACCCTGTATAGGGCTTCCAAGGAGCGGCTGGTGAGCTTGAACGGCTGACTTTGTGGTCCAGCACATTAACCCACAGCATCACAGGAAGGGGGTAAAATGCAGACTGTGGCTGGTCCCCTTGACCCTGAAGCAAACCATCCCGGGGCTTCAAGGGCACTTGGTAGAGGGCTGGCTGGACCCTGGGCCTGGGGGGTGGGGCAAGGCTCCGTCCTGAGCTGGGGGTCCAGGGCTGATGCTACCTCCTCTCTCCCCCGCCCTATGCAGAAGGCTCTTTGACACCAGGGCCAGCAGCAGCACATGGCACCCTGGCCTGGCCTGGCCAGCCTGAGCCGCCTCCCACCATGGCGTCCACAACCTCCACAGCAGCCCCGAGGGGCCCCACGGTGCGTCCCCATTCTCCAGGTCTCCATCTTCCAAAGTCCAGTGGCCTCTCACCAAGTCCCTTCCTCCAGATCTGGGCACCCCTTCCGCCCCTGAGGATTTCAGAGCAGAGACCCTCGAGACGTGTCCCAGGGCCAGTATAGAAAATGTGGGCATCTTTCCTTGACACCTCAAAAAGCTCCAGCCCCTCACCCTGACTTCTGAGCTCAGGGGTGCCTCAAGCCTCCCCGGATGCCTCCTCCAGGAGACTAGAAGAACGGCTGTAATGGGGGGGAAGGGGGACTGGCAGCCTTCCTCAGTGCCGCCCCCCAGGCAATTCCTGGGACTGCTAAGGATTCTGTTCCCCTTCATCTTACCCCTTCCCCCAGACGTTCTGTGCTCAAGTGATTTGGGGAACACTGCATGTTGCAGAGAGTCCCCAAAAGGCAGACAATTTCTGCAGTTCAGAACTGACCGCTGGAACTTGTCTCTGCAGCTATTGTCCACCCGCATGCTACTCTCCTCGGGGAGAGGGATCTCAGTCAGTGACCCCCCCACCACACCTGGGCTCCCGTAAAGGAGACGCGGAAGGCTCAGGCCGACCGTGTCTTTAGGAGGCTGGGGGTCATACTATCAGTGTGTCTGAGGCCTCCCTGCCTCTCCGTCTGGGATTGAGTCTCCTCGGACCCAGTAGCTCTGACCCCCGTATTTGCACAGGGGGCGGACACAGCAGCGGTCACCCCGGACGGCTTGGCCGCGTTGCAGCTGGATGGACCGCCCTCGGGTGACTTGGACGGGTTGGTGCCCACGCGGGATGAACGCGGCCGGCCCATCCCCGAGTGGAAGCGGCAGGTGATGGTTCGGAAACTTCAGGCTCGCCTCAGCGCCGAGGGGGCACCTGAGGGCCAGGTGGGACTTGGACACGGCCTGGAGAGCGGGGTGCGAGGTGGGGGCAGTCTAGCGGAAAAGGAGGGGCTTGGTCTGTGGGATGGGCCTGGAGGGCTGGAGGGGCGGGGCCTGGAGGGTGGAGCCACTGTGGTGGGCGGGGCCAGGGACGCTAATTGGGCGGGGCCGGGGCGAGGGTTGAGGGTGGGAGGTTTTGTCCCCAGGCAGGTGGAACAGGTTGAGATGTGAGATGAGGCAGGATTCAGAATGAGCTCCGGGTACCTTGCAGTCTGCCCGCTGTGGCCTTCGCGTCCTCTTCCGGACGGTGGCAGTGAAGCCCATCTGGGACCTGCAGACTGCCCTTCAGTGTTTCAGAGCTGAGGTCCCCTTAGGGAACGAGGCCACCTTCCTGGAACTTATAGTCCAGCGGGGGACAGGTGGGAAAGAGACTCTTGCTGGGGACATTGAGGTGCTATGGGAAAATCAAAGGGAGAGAGGGTGAGAGGAGTAGTCTTTTGTCTCTGGGTGGTCAGGGGACACTGAGCAGGGGCCTGGAGTGAAGAAGGGCTAGCTGAGCACCTTGCAGTAGAGGAAGCAATCTGTGCAAAGGCCCTGGGGCAGGTGCTGTCCAGGATCCTGGAATGGGGTGAGGCTATGCAGGGGAGACCAGAGGAAGCCTGGGTGGACATCGGGGCCTGCTGAGTCCTCTGGGCCTCCTTTGGAAATCTGAGTGGGAAGGCTATGATATCACTCGAGTTTCTTTGGGACTCATCTGGCTGCTGAGTGTACGGCCTCTTGAATCTCACTCCCCAGATCTACTGTTCTGTCTGAGACATGTGTGCTGCCTGAGGGGATGGGGCTTTTTAAATCCACACTACAAGTCAAATGAAAAAGAAAACTCCCTTGCCTCAGTCACACCAACCACACTTGGTGGCCATTTGTGGCCTGTGGCTACTGAGTTGGATGGCACATACACTTTCATCCTTGCAGAGCTGTTGGTCAGTGTAGGCCTGGAGGCTCACCCTGTCCCCACCTGTTGGGTGGAGTCACAGGGGCCCATGGTGAGGACTCTAGCTCAGCCAGGCAGCTCCTTGGCATCCTTCCATCTTTCCCTGGGACAGTGGTGAGGGTCAGGATCACTAAAAGGCTGAGCATGAAGGAGATGGGGGTGGGGGCGACAGAACAACCTGCTCAGAGCGTCCTGACCAGACACCCTGCCAGCATAGTGACTGCCCCTGGCCCCGGCCCTAAAGGGATTGAGACTGACAAGTACTAAGTCCCACCTGATCCAGGGCCCCTTGGTTTCAGGTAGCAGAAGTGTCTCCTCACCTGTGACCAGAGATGGTATATGTCCTCGGGCTACTGGGGCATAGAGAAGCCCGCACAGGCAGATGACATGGAGTGGGCCCAGGCAGTGGGTACCCAGGCTCTGTGTGTGGGGAGTGTGAGGGGAAGAGGATGAAGTTGGTTGCGTAGAGTAGAGTTGGTAAGACTGCCATCTGCGTGGGGAGGGCTCTGAGGACGGAGATCATTTGCATTAAACGTGGAGGTGATGAAGGGAATGAAGCTCAGGGTGCCCTAGCTTCCTGTGAGGGAGAAGAGGGATTCCCCACAGGGCGGTGCCTGTCCTGAGCCTTCAAGCTCTGCACAGGGGCCTGCCAGGCACCTCATGTCACCTTGTAGGACCACGCCCCTGACCTCCCCCTCTCTGTACCCAGGAGGATGGCGGGAGCGGGGCCCCCGCGGAGCAGGCAGCCTGGCGATACTCGCAGGCCCACCAGGCCATCCTGGGCCCCTTCGGGGAGCTGCTAACGGAGGACGACCTGGTGTACCTGGAGAAGCAGATCGCGGACCTGCAGCTACGCCGACGTTGTCAGGAGTACGAGAGCGAGCTGGGGCGGCTGGCCGCGGAGCTGCAGGCTCTTCTCCCCGCACCCGTGGTCAGCATCACCGTCAACAGCCACTTCCTGCCCCGGGCGCCCGGGCCAGAGGGCGACGAGGCCGAGGCCCCGGCTGTGGCGCTGCCCGAGGGTGAGGCGGAGGCGGGCGCGGCACCGGGCAGCCAGCCTCTGCCCTTCTGGTGCACCCACATTGCCCGGCTGGTGCGCAGCATGTCCCTGCTGCTTCGGGGCGTCAATGGGCTGATGCAAGGCGACGAACGGCCAGCAGTCCGGGTCCCGGACGCAGCCACGCGGGAACCTCCGGCCAGCCCCCCGCGCAGCGAGGCCCAGCGGGAGATCCAGGAGTGCGGGGTGTCCGTGCGGGTGCTGCGGGGCAACTTCGAGAACATCACCCCAAACCCGGGGCCGTGTGAGCAGGGGGCCAGGCCTGGGCAGTGCGTAAGAGGCTGCTGGGTGGCCCCTGTGCGGTCCCAAGGCGGGCCCAGCGACGCCGAGGAGGCCAGCGACTCAGGCATCAGCTGTGAGGAGCCGGCGGAGGCGGGCGCGGCCCCTAGACTGGACCTGGCCAACCTGCGCAAGGAACGCATCGTCATGTTGTTCCTCAGCCACTGGAAGAAATCCGCCTACACGCCCGCCCTCAAGACCGCTGCCTGCAGGACCCTGGTGGCCCACCGCGCCCAGCGCCCCCAGCCACCCTCCCCACCACCCAGCGAGGGCCCCCGACTCAGCCACCTGTGGCAGCAACACAGCATCATCGCCCACCTGCTGGCCAACTGGAAGGCCATTATGGCCCACGTGCCCAGCCGGCAGCTGCGGCGGCTGAGCCGGCGACCGCGTGGCCCGCTGTCCCCTGAGCAATTCCTCCCGCACGTGGACGGAGCGCCCGTGCCCTACGACAGCCTTACACTGGACCTCTTCATGCTGGGCTACTTCCAGCTGCTGGAGTGTGACCTGTCGCCGGAAGAACGCAAGATGCGGCACCTACTGTGCTTCGAGGTCTTTGAGCACCTGGGCGCCCACGGCTGGGAGGCCGTGCGCGCCTTCCACAGGGCCGTCACCGACGAGGTGGCCACCGGCCGCCGCGCCTGGACTGACGGCTTCGAGGACATCAAAGCCCGCTTCTTCGGTTCCAGCCGGGGCCCTGCCTGGGACCCAGAGCGCGGCCACAAGTCCGGCCTGAGCGTGCTGGGACCGCCGCCCCCCACCTTGGCTCCCAGCTGTGGCCCTGAGCCTGAAACCCGGGGCCCAGGCGTCCAGCGGGACTGCTTCAGGAGCGAGGACATCTGCGGTTACATCGACCGGAGTTTCGCCTTCTGGAAGGAGAAGGAGGCCGAGATGTTCAGCTTCGGAGAGTGAGCCAGGAAGCGGCTTCCGGGCCCGCTTTGGTTGCGGAGGGTCTTCACGTCCCGCCCCTCCGGATATACTTCCGCGTCTTCGCCCCGCTGAATCCTACGAAGATTCTCGTCTCAGATCTGACCGTAAAGAACAAGGATTCTTCCTCGCAGCCCCGGAGCCCCGTGGCTGTGTGGCTTTGCTCCTGGAATTTGAAGCCCCGTCTGTGACCTCTGCTTCTCTTCTCCTTGAGCCTTGGTCCAGCTCCGCCTGAGCCCGGGACGTTGGGCCTGGACCCTGGACCAGCTGCTCTTTCAATGATGTTGTTTGATGCTGAGTTGGTTCTGACTCAGCGACTCGGTGTCAGGTTTCCAAGGAGTGGCTGGTGGGTTTGTATCGCCAACCTTGCAGTTAGCAGTCTAGTGCTTAGCCTACAGCGCCACTCCAGAACTCTGACCTTGGTGGTGGTGGTGGTTACGCACCGTGAAGTCGGTTACGCCTCATACCGACCCTGTATAGGTTTTCTGAGGCTGTAAGTCTTTTACGGGAGCAGAAAGCTTCATCTTTCTCCTGTGGAATGGCTGGTAGATTTGAACTGCTGACCCTGAAGTTAGCAGCCCGACTCATAATCACTACACTACCAGGGCTCCTTCCAATGACCTTGGGCCTCATCATGTCCCATCTGTGAAATGGGAGGACTGGGGGTTGGGGAGAATGGATTGCCACGAATAGCTTTCTTTCCCTCTACACCCATCTGCCCTCCTGAATTCTCCGAGTCAGGGAGGTGATCCGTACTCATGAACACACTAACTACCTGCCCACAGACAGGTGGCTGCCGCCCCCAGGACACTGTGGAGGCCCTTGAGGGAGTCCTGTCTGTCTGGAAGGACAGCTGACCACCTCTTACCATGCAGGATCCCATCTGCAGGGACAAGCTGCTGGGCCCTGAAGGACCAGAACTTCACGGGGGCCCTTGGACAGTACCCACATAGCACCCTGTCCATCCAGGTCTGGGCTCCTGGGGGTTGTCCAAGGACAGAAGATGGGCCCTGCCTTCAGGGGACTTCCTGAGAAGAGGACCATCAGTCCCAAGGCCCCTGGGGCAGCTGGGGGAACGTGCCAGCCCTGACTGTGGGATCCACGGAGGACAGGTCAGAGCTCTGGGGGAGGAGCTGTGCTGCTGTGAGCAGAACCCAAAAAGCAGTGTGGTGGGAAGACTTCTGGAATCTTCCACTGCCTCGACGCCCCCACAGTCTGGCCTACTTGGGGCAGAGCGCACTCCCCACCCTAGGCCTCTGCAGTGTTCCTTACTCACTCAAGGGGAATGGGGTGGGGCCAGGCCCAGTAGTTGTCCAGCAGAGCCAGGAGGGCAGTGACCTGGCTGTTGGGTGGGGTGGAGCGCAGGGATGCTGGGACACGTGTGGGCGGGAGTATCTGGTTGCGGGCGAGGGGCAGCCTAGGCTCCAGACAGATCAGCTAGTGACTGCCGGCTGAGGGGCTGCTCTGGGGGAGGTGGGTGATCTTGCCTTCTGGCTTCCTTCGCTGCTGCAGACCCTAGTGAGCTTGTGAAATAAAGATGACTGTTATTGGCCACGTGGGCTCTGTACCCCTATTTGCCAGCACCAGGGTCCCAGCACTGGGCGGGCTCAAGCCGGCCCAGATCTCAGCCCCTGGAGCCTCCATTTCTCACTTGTTACACGAGGGTACAGTGCTGACCCCGAATCTCCACTTCTCACCTGCCCTCTAATGACCTGGAAAGCAGACAGCCTGCTTCTGGGAATTTATGAAAGCACGAGCTGCCCCAGCAATTGGGGCAGGGAAAGTGAGTCTTATCCTTAGACTGAGGATTCAGTTGTCCCAGGTAGCAGGTGGGTTGACCCAGGCAAGGCTCTGCTCTCATCTGTGAGGCCCCTTCTCCCTGGCCCCAAATATAAAGCACCTGGTCAGACCTCACCCACATAGGCATGAGGTATCTGAAGAAAGAGCCAGCTCATTCCTAGAGACCACCCCAGAGTACACACAGCGAGGAAATAAGCTCAAACCAGTGCAACCCAAAGGCCCACTCTTCCTTTTTTTATTTTTAAAAAATGATTCTAAACTGCATTTGAGGAGTCCTGGTGGGGTGCTGTGGGTTAATGTGCTGGACTGCAAAGTCCGTTTGAGCTGCAAGGTCGGTGGTTCAAGCTCACCAACCATTCCTCGGAAACCCTATACAGGGTCGCTAGGTGTCAGAACCAATTCAATGACAATTAACAGCAAAATGCATGTGTAGGAGAAACATCCAAACCCCGCTGTGGCGGTTAACCTTTATTAAGGCTCCTACTTCCTGCTGGTCTCATCTAGGTGTTGTCCCCTCCCACACTGTAACAACAGAACAAGGCAGACACCATGACCTCACATCCCCTGGGTTATAAAAGGCTTAGGTCTCCGGGAAGCCGGCTGCTATGTCGTTGGCCATCCTAGAGAGAGCCCACCCGCTCCCAGAGACCCTAAACCAGAACCCAGCTAAAACACTCCTAGGTCCATGACCTCCAGAAACCTGACTAAATAATATATGTTTGTTGTTTTAAGTCACAAAATGCTGTTCTAATTCGTTATGACTAATAGATCAGAACAGGGGAAATTTCCAAGAGGAGGTGTCTAGACAAGCTAGGCCAGTGAAACATATATGTATATATAAAGAGAGGCTTAAATCAAGGAAATGGTCATACGGTTGTAGAGTTGGGAGAGCCCCGAGTCTGGGTAAGTAGAACCAAGATTGGCAGGTAAGATGGCAGGCAGGCAGGCCCAGCAAGGAGTTCTGTCCATCTATCTGTCTGGCAGGCAGGTCGGCAGGTAGGTGATGGCTCCCAGGATTGGCAGCTAACAGAGCAGACCACTGCTCAAGTTCAAAGAACCGGAGGTCAGAGGACAAGCCAGATGCAAGCCCAGACCCAGCAGAGAGCAAGTAAGCTTTGCCTGAGTGTCCAAAAGATTGGAAGTAGGCCACACCCCCAAGGAACCATCCTTTCAATTGATTGGCTGCTCATAGCAGAACTTGTCAGAGTTTGTTGTTGCTGTTGTTAAGTGCCAAGTTGGTTCCGACCCATAGCGACCCTGTAGAGGGTTTCCAAGGAGCGACTTGAACCACCAACCTTGCAGTTCAAACGGCTTTGCAGTCTGGTGCCTTAAGCCACAGCGCCACACCAGAGTTTAGTTACATTGTATTAGATCTCATTATGGGGATCACTACATCTCAGCTACCAACCACTGAGAATCCCGCCCAGCCCAGTCAAGTTGACAAAATCTTTCCTACCACAGGAGAGGTTTCCTTTCAGAAGTGAAACTATCTTAATTAGAGAACAGTAGCCAAGCAATGGGTCATTCAGATCAACAAATCAGCACGGAGAAAGCCGAAACATTCTCACAAGGAAGAGGGGAGAGACAAGGGCTTGTCAATGAGAACACAGATGCAGGGGTCAACGGTTTCAACAGAAAGTGTGAACGAAGCCTAGGTGAATTCAGATAAAGTAAGGAGCTCTGGTAGCGTAGTGGTTACAAATCAGGCTGCGAACCGCAAGGTCAGCAGTTTGAAACTACCAGCTGCTCCTCAGGAGAAAGATGAGGCATTCTGCTCCCATAACGATTTACAGCCTGTTCAGGGTAGCTATGGGTCGGAACCGACTCGATGGCACTTAACAACAACAACAACAACAAGAGATGCTATACAGCCAGGCTGCTCCTGGAAGCCAGGACAGTGAGACTTCGTCTTCATGCTTCAGACATGTCACCAGGAGGGACCAGTCCTTGGATATGTTCATACTTGGTAAAGCAGAGGGGTCAGGGAAAAAAAGGAAGATCCCCAACGAGATGGATTCACACAGTGGCAGCGGCAGTGGGCTCAAACCGAACACTCATGAGAGTGGTGTAGGACCAGGTGGTGCTTGTGGAACCGACTCAGTGGCACCTGACAATCACAAGAGATGCTGAGAACAAGCTAAGCTATAAATGTCTGAGGATGAGGAATTTGATCGCCTGTTCTGTGGGGGCTACACACTGGGTTGCTAACTGCAAAGTCGGCGGTTCAAAACCCACTGGCCACTCCACAGGAGAAAGCTGAGGCTGTCTGCTCCCATAAAGATCGACAGTCTGGAGACCCTGATATGGGCTCTCTGTAAGTTGGAATCAACTCCATGGCGGTAAACTGAGTTTGGTTTTGAGTCCCTGGGTGAGGTAAACCATTAAGTGCTTGACTACTAAACCAAAGATTGTCGTTTGGCGTCTATACAGACGGACCTCGGAAGAAAGTCAGGAGATCTCTTTCCAGAAGGTCAGAGCCATTCAAACCCCTATGATGATGTTTTACTGGGACTCACGGGGTCACATGTGTTAGAGTCATCTTGATGGCAACTGGTTTGATTGTTTGTTTTTGAGAAAGTGAGTGTTCCCGGGGGGCCGGCGGAAGGATCTCTGGTGTGGTCACCCAGGGCTTTAAATACGGTCACGTGTTTTCACTCGGTGGATCTGTTCTGGGGCGTTGACGCGGTTGTAGTAGTTACAATAGTGCCGGATGAAAACCAACCCGAATGTCTATTAATGGAAGAGTCTTACATGGTGACCGAGCGCCACGGTGACTACGCAGTGACATCAGGAAAGTCCCAGGACATGAGGCCGAGTGACGAAGCAGACACAAAAGCATCCACCCTGGTGATGATTGATTGCGACGACAGAACTGTCTGCTTTCTATTTTCCTGTGTTTTCCAAATTCTCCATCTACCGGTTTCTTACCAGGATCAAGTAACAGCGTATTTTTAAAAAAAACGCTCCACTCGGCAGCAATCTGGTGACGAGGCTCAGCTGAACCCCTGGTGTTGAGTTTCCCAAACTGACCTGTCATTTGAGGTGCCGGGTCTCCAATTCCCAACTCCGCCAGCCTGTGCGTTGGCGCAGCTCTGCTCTCATCGAGCCAGCTCCCGGGACAGCAGCCTGTCATCAGGATCTTCATTTCCTCCAGCCAGGAGGAGCACATTAACCCTCTGTGTTCT